TCTTATCTTCTTCGATAACTTCACAGCCCAGGACCACCACCACCGGCCACTTCTTCTTCTTCTTCTTTTGATTACTGAATTTGAATGGAGGCTATTATTCTATTGTTGATTAGAAGTGTAGCAGTTGAATGTAAATGCTCATGCCATAGTTGGGTGGCTTTGGTTAGATGAATTGATTGATCAAGAATGGTGGGCTATTCTTACTCTACAAATCATTTTTTTTACTCCATTTAATTTCTTATTTTTTAAATTATTAAACTAATAATTTATATACTCACCCCCATTAGTAATTAAATTCATCCTATATTACATACACTCCTCTTAATAGTTAAGTTCACTCATTTTATATCCACCAGTTGAATGAAAAAAGTCATTGTAAGAAAAAAAAAATAATTAATTTGCATGCATAAATATATTTACGAAATAAGAAAAAGAATAAAATAAGGAAAAAACAGAAAAAAAAAATAAGCAAACTGAAACAAGAAGGAAAAAACCAATCAAAGATTAAGGAACAAGTAAAATGATAAGACGTAAAATTGAATATGAAAAAAAACACAAATATCAAGCAAATACACAAAATCAAACAAAAAAATAATAATAAGCAAATATGCAAAAAAGAACAAATAATATAAAAACATAAAAATATACATAAGGGGTGTATATAGCATGAATGAACTTAATTAATAATGTGGTGAGTATATAAAAGGTCAGTTTAATAATTTGATAAAAAAAATTAAATAGGGTGAAAATAAAAATTTGTGGGGAAAGAATAACCCACCCGACCAAGAATTGTGGTGACTTGGTTGATAGTGATTGGGTGGTTCATTGGGTGTGCATCGAGTAAAGACGATGGTGTGCTTTAGTTTATAACAATGGATAACAATGGTAATTTATTGGTGATGTAACAGAGAAACATAGTGGATGAATGTGTAGTGGGGGTGGAGGACATGAGAAGTTTATTTATATCAGAGTAATGCTATTTGGATATAAAAATTTAACTTAATTTATTGACATAATGATGCGGTTTAATAGAAATCATTAGATCAACATCAAGTTCTAATGTTTGATGGGGTTTATAGCCAATCCAAATGTCACAATGAATTAGATCAGATTTTTAGGTCCAAATAGCATTACTCTATTATTGTCACACCCTAACTGACTTGGGTGCAAACCAAAGGCATGCCATAAGTTGGAATCAAGGTGATGCGGCTAAGTGGTTTGACAGATTGGGGTGAACCAAGGCAGCATAAGAACACCCGGTTGAGCATGGCAACACGTGGTGGGCTCAATTAAAACAATGTGAGTGCATAGCTTCGGATTGCATGACATGGGTTGAACCCAGCATGCACATTGGTTCGTGTAGCCAGACTGACTGCTGAATGTGGGCACTTGACTAGCACATGACTGTTGAATGTGGGCACTTGACTGGCACATGACCGTTCAATGCATGTGACCAAGAAGATGTGGGCGGTTATGATGCTGAGACACAATCAAGGTAGTTGCTGAGGCAGTTCTAGGCGTCCCTAGTCTGAATCCAGTCTAAATGCATGCTGATGAAGGACAATTCCATAGCAGTTACTGAAAGTGGTGGAACTTCCTGCCAGGTGTCGCACGGAGACCAAAGCCTACTAGCCTAGTATGCTATGGAATAACAAAAACGTGTGTAACTACCCCTTGACAGATGGGAGTGTCATCTACCTTACTCCTGTATAAATAGGGGTGCTTGAGCATTCTGAGGGGGAGAGAGTGTTCTGGCTTTGAGAGTCTTTGTAAATTATTGAGTTCAATATATAAGGTTTGGGAGTTTTGTCCCAGTAAATTCGTGTGTGCCTTCTGTGTGAGTTTTTATCCTTTATTCTTGAGTTTAAGTGTGGTTGGTTGCAGTAGCAACGCCTTCACAAATAGACTCGAAGAAAAAACGAAAGTTACCCTGTGACAATTATTAAGATGGTCTTTTTGTTACTCTCATTAATGGTTTAAATGTGCATTTTAATCCAAATATTTAAGGGGGTTATGCGCTGATTTTTGAATTATAAGAGAGTGATGTGCAAAAGGACCAAACTACAACGGAGTAAACCATATTTACCCTTTTATGTTTATATTTTTTGTTTTATATAATATATAGGCGTCGCGGTAGTTGCAGCAGCCTATATCTTTTTGAAACACCACCTGTAACAATGCCACGCAGATACGCATCAATAATAAACGAGACATTCTGAATTGAAAATTAAAATTTTGGTCAATTGGATTGTAGGTTCTCAAGTCCCATTTTAGGACTTAATAGTTTAATTATTAAAATATTAAATATATTTTTATGTGATACCTCAAACAGATAGTATTTAAATTATTAATATTTTTTATCATAAACTTATCACATGATAATTAAATATGGACAAAAAATAATTTGAGTAACTTTTGACAAAAAATGTCCAATATGGATAACTCTTGACCAAAATTTAGAGAATTTATAATTAAAACTGTGTAATTTGGGTAGATCTTTGACCAAAATTTGGTCAAGAATTATCTAATTATTATTTTTTTCATATTTAAGTATTAAATAACAAGTTTATAATAAAAAATTATTAATAATTTAGACATTGTCTGCTGAGCAATGCTATTGAGACTTAATTTACTGACCTAATTCATTGTGACCTTTGGATACAATGGAGACCCCATCAAACATTGTAACTTAGTGTTGATTCAATGATTCCTATAAAACCACATCATTATGTCAGAAAATTTGGTCGAATTTTTATGTCAAAATAGTATTACTTTGGTTTGCTTGAAGATTTACATAAAAATATATTCCCTCCGTTCTTAAATATCTATCGTTTTACACATTTTTTTTTGTTCCACAGTATTTGTTGTTTAATAAAACCAAAACATAATTAATATTTTTTCTTTCAAATTTACCTTTAACTTTTTAATGCATTAGATTAGGTGGAGGCTAAGTGTCTTTCATATTTCTTTCATTCCCAATATGTATTGAATAAGAGTATTTTAGTCTTGTATAATTATTATTTACTCATATTATAATTATTTAATAGCTTCCTTAATCCTTGTGCAAAAATTTTAAACGACAGATATTTAGGAACGGAGGGAGTATTCAATATTTTTATAACTAAAATAATGCAATTGAAATATTAGGGATCAAAATATTTGAAGACCTCAGTTCAATTATGCTTTTAAATTTGATAATTATTTTTTATTTAAACCATAAATTTCTTAAAATCAACGTGAATGATCGTCTTTCACCGAAAATAACAACCACCTCCCATTTTCCTTCCTTCTTTCCTTAATATCAGAAGCAAGGGATAAATCGTCACTACTCGGGCATTCCACCGTCGGTCTATACTTGTTTATTGGTGTGGCATTCTTGAAAATGAAATATTTTAACATCCCATCCAGCAAATAAAAGGATTTAAAACTATTTATTTATTGTGTGAGTAAGTGAATCAAACTATTTAAATCATTAAATTTAATTGCTTACTATAATATTTCAGATATTAAACTCATTTTTGTGCATTTAATTTTCGCTTATACAAAGCAAATCACGAGTCTTTACTTATAAATATTCTCCCAAATTTGTTTAGAAAGTTCACAAATTAAATCTTATTTTACAAACTCAAAAATTATCAAGTTCAATATTTTTCTTTTATTGTTCAAAGAAATATTAATTTTTTAAAATTATTTTCAACAAGGATACGATTTTTGTTTGAAAAATTGCTACTGATTCTAGTGTATGTTGTAATTTAAATCATGTAACAAAGTGTATAGGATTAAAAAAAAAATATCTAAAAAATATGACTTAGTAATTCATTTTCAAAACTTAAATGACATAATAATTTTTATGAATATAAAGAAAAGCATAATGATGATTTTTCATTTTTTAAATTTATTTTGCAATCATGAATGCAAATTTGGAACTTTTTGATAAAGAGTTTCACTTTTATCGCAAATACTTGGTATCTATTGACGATGTTGAAAACAATGAAATTCTAATTCTATTACTTATTATTCCTCACTAGGATTTGCAAATCACAAATTCTCTTATGCAACTATTTACCAGAAAGAGGCACTTAGAGCAATTCCAATAGATCATTTATTCCCACTTAATTTTGTTAATTACATTGTTGTAATATATTTATTCCAAAAAAAAAAAAAAGTCATGGGGCATCTCACTCTCTTGGCATTCATATATAGATATAATTCTTTTAAATAGAAATTTATAACTTTCTTAAATTTACTACTTTTTAATTAACTATCATATATTGAGATGACATAATTAAGCTTATATTTTAAAAATCACAATAATAATGATAATAATATTTAAACACAAAAATTAAAGAATGAAGAAAAGAAATATAATTCTAAGTATCCAAAGTCTCGCATGTGTTACTCGAGTTGCTCATAGGATAGGATTGACAATTTACCAAAAAAAAAAAAAAATATATATATATATATATATATATTATTTAACATAATTGATGGAGAATAAAAGGATGATGCCGAAAGTCGTAGTAGTTGGTACTCGGTTTGCATACGTATTCCATTTATTTATTTTTCATTCACACTATCTTCTCATGACCCTTGCTTTGCATATATAATATAAATCACTGACGGATCTACTATGGCAAGGGGGGCTTGGTGGCAAACACAATACTATGTAATAGATGTAAGGACAAATCCTAAGCACAGCATGATCGTAACGTAATGTTGGCCCAGACCCAATCCAACCACCATGACTCAAGTCTCAATTGACAGATTTTTAGTATGGTAAATTGCGTCTACTTCTCTTGACATTCGTCACTGCCCATTGTCAATAAAGAGAACAGTCAACTGGCGAACGGAATTGGAAGTTTGCAAAATGACTGTTTTGTTCTTCGATAAAATCATATCCTAATCCAAACCCATATGTCATCAACCCGACCCTAACTACACACCCATAAATTATCTTCCCCTTCTTTCATTTTCTCCACCACCACCTCTGGCTGACCACCATGCTCCCACCTCAAATCGCCACACCCTATTCCCCAACTTCAAACCCTGACAACCTCTGCCACATCCACGCCAAACGCAGCCGTGTGATGAATGACGATGCTAATGGCGCATGGCCAGAGTTGTTGTGTCTATGGAATTTTGTCTGATTTCATTTGATTAGCATAGCGTAGGTATCTCTATCATTTGCAAGTTGCTCTATTCATTCATTTGGCTGATGGCAGGCTCAAAAGTCTTTGGCTCTGGATACAGCAATTGGGATGAGGCAGTCGCTATTTGCTGAAAAGCAGTGGCCACTGGTGCCAATTATTGCAGGTAGCCTCTATCCTAGGAGAATTATGCAATATTGTGGTTATTTTTCTGATCAGGTTCTCTCCATGTCATTATTATATTTAGCTCCATGAACATTATCCTTACCCAGACTGGTGATTATCAATCCTTATTCAATTTTTTGTTCTTTATTATTAGTTTGATCTTATGGAGAAAGGATATCATGTATGCGCATCCGTCCCCACGTGCTTTCTTTTTCTTGGTATATGATTGTTTGATGTAGGCAGCTAATTTGCTAATCATTCTTGTTTGAAATTTTGCTGTTTCATTTTTTACAAGCTTTTAGCACATTAGTATTATTCGTAAGTTTGGTCTTGTGTACTTCAACAAATAAAAAACAAAAGAAAACTCTCTCTCTCTCAAGCAAGAAAACTTCTTGCTTTTTTTTTTTACCCTGTTCTGTGCCCTTTCTATTTGATCCTAATCTAAACGATGTTGTGAAGTAAAATTCCAAATTTTGGTGGTGCATCAATTTCATTTCTTGAAATCATAAGAAGATTGAGATTGGTGGATATCTTGTTTCTAGATGGAAGTGAAGCATACAAATGTTTGTCAATTGTACGATTTATGATCATGTTTCTCTTGCCTAATGGTAATATGGCATTGTTAACTTTAGTCTTTGATTATTAATGCAGAATGTGGACCTTGCACTACCAAACGACAATTCTGAAGGTGCTTGGCCACATCTTATCGATGAGTTTGTTGAAAACTGAACTAGGAATGATATAAATAAAAAATTGCAGTTGAATGATTGGTGCCAGAAATGTTGATGGACTGATGGAGTGAGTATGAAATGGAGTTTTCATTTTACATACATTTATTTTACACCATCTTTGAGCCTTCCTTTGGCTCCCCCAACCCTAAAAAGAAAAATCATTGAGAAAAAAATGTATCAAAAGGAAAGGATTGCTTGGAACTATAAATAAGACTTGCTCTTTATTAACACTTGATATTCAACATTTTCAATGATTGAGTTGTTGGGATGAATTTTTTTATGGAATGATTGACGTCATCTTGTGAGCTTTTGACCATTTTCCTTTTTTAGTGGGGTGGGAGTGGATTTTTCAACATGTTAATAGTGAGCTATGATAGTGCTTGCTGCCTTGCATATCTTTACGTTGACTTGTTTGATTGTATGATTTTCGTCAAGTGGTTCCATAAGTTGGTTGTCGAACATAAAGGGGTTATGCCCATCATAAAGTCTATTACTACGTCTAGCAGCGTTGCATGAAAAAACCTTAAAGGTTAAATTCTTAGAACTATAATTAACAGAAAATGAAGAATTCATGACAATCCAGATCTCGCACTTTATTCATGTTCGTTTATTTCTCATAAAAGCAACTACATTTTAAGAAGAGGAGGACAAGGGGTTCACCAAGGGCACTCAGGAGGACTAAGAGTCTGAGGAGGACAAGAGGAAGTCAGAGGGCTCTTAGGAGGAAGACTAGAAGTTCAGGGAGGACAAGAGAAATGTGGGAGGAGGGCTCATAGGAGGAGGACAAGAGGATGTCGGAGGGTGCTTACGATCAAGGAGGACAAGAGGAAGTCGGAGGGCTTGTAGGAGGAGGACTAGGAGGAGCAGGATTAGGAGTTTGAAGAGGACAAGAGGATGTCGGAGGGCTCTTAGGAGGAGGACTTGGGGTCTGAGGAGGACAAGAAGAAGTGGGTGGACTCTTAGGTGGAGGAATAGGAGTCTGGGGGGGACAAGAGGAACTGGGAGGGCTCTTAGGAGGAGGACTAGGAGTTGGAGGAGGACAAGAACTGGGAGGACTCTTTGGCGGAGGAATAGGAGTCTGGGGGGGACAAGAGGAACTGGGAGGGCTCTTAGGAGGAGGACAAGAATTGGGAGGACTCTTGGGAGGAGGACAAGAGGAAGTGGGTGGACTCTTAGGTGGAGGAATAGGAGTCTGGGGGGGACAAGAGGAACTGGGAGGGCTCTTAGGAGGAGGACGAGGAGTTTGAGGAGGACAAGAACTGGGAGGACTCTTGGGAGGAGGACAAGAGGAAGTGGGTGGACTCTCAGGTGGAGGAATAGGAGTGTGAGGGGGACAAGAGGAACTGGGAGGGCTGTCAGGAGGATCAGGAGTAGGGGTATCGGGAGGGTTGTCTGGAGGAGGGTTGTCTGGAGGAGTGTCGTCTGGAGGAGGAGATCCTCCTGATCCGTCACAGTCCTTGAAACACATACACCGATGTCGGAACCCCTTGCATTGGCCGGATAGGAAACCTTCTTTCTGACAAATTGAAGCACAATTGTTGTTCCTAAAGCATACACCTCGGTACACTTTGCTCTGTGACTCACAAATTGCTGCTTCAGTGTGCATCATTATCTCTTCTGTAATTTCACAACACATGCATTGAGTGTATGGATGAATTAGTTAGTTCCAATACAGTAACATATAGCAGAATGATATTAATCTCCTGAAATGCCTACATTACTACTAAAGAATGTGATAAATCGAGGCCCCTTTATAAGCATGTGAAAAAAGGGCAAGAGGATGGATGTGGGTGGCATTCTGAAGGGCCACAACCAACATAGCCAGACCCCCCCCCCCCCCAATCACCCCCACAATGCATGCAAACTTTAACATGCATTTTACATTTTGCTGCAGGTGGTGAGAGTCGTCATACACGAAGGAGAGCGAGAGATGAAGATTCTTACGACAAACCAAGAGAGAGAGCAACAACTGGAGTCCCAACAACCGTACTCTAGCCATATTTTGATATTCTTCTACCTTGTCCTTGTTACATACAAACCCGCTTTTATATATAGCAGACATCATATCTACCAAGGAAGACGAGAATTGACCTGGAATAACGGTGTAAGGCCACCAGCGTCAGCGTCAGCATCGTCGCAACAAGTGGCGTAATTGCAAAAAAACTGCGAACCTTATTAAAACTTGTGCACATATTTTGTCAAAAGGGTTTTTAATGTTTCTTTTCTTTGGCAAAGGATGATCCTCCTTCTCATTCATGTGAACATGCAGATATACCTCATGGAGTGGCTCATTTAATTAATATCTCCCTTTCCTTCACTGTTCCTTCTTTAAAGCAACCACTTGCTCAATCTCATTAAAGCGCATCTGTTCATTAATTTGCTAGATTTTTTTCTCTAGTAAGCTGATAAGAGTATCAGATTATGTACATCTCCTTGCATCTTTGAAATTAATGAGTGATTCATGGTACCTTTCTGGGGGCCAGGTTTTTTTTTTTTTTTTCAAAAATAAAATCTCAGGTAAGCTCGAGTGTAGAGCACATGAACGCATGGGACTCGAGGTTGGGAATATACCTGGTTGGTAATTAGAGAACAAAGTTCGGACGTTGTTACGAGTCCGTCTTTGCTATTAATTTGATCACAATTCATTTGTAGCAGTCATATATAAACTTCATTGAACTAGCTCTAAGTTCACTTTCTTGATTCTAATTCATCCTCCGCGCAAGCACCATCAACCATTCTAAATATTCAAATTCAACCACTCATGAAATTTCAATACTTTAAAAGTCAACATGATGTCCTGCTTATTTATTTCTCGTTCAAAAAAAAATAATTTTAATTCTCATTTAAGAAATATTATTTATATCTACACTCCCCCCCCCCCTCTCCTCCCCCCTTTTTCTCTGTCACACACACAGTAAACCAAAGACCCACCTAACAATGGCACAGCCACCACCATGATTGCCACTACCACCCACAGCCAATCGTCACCATTAATGGGCTAAAAATTGATATGAATGTTGACAATTATACCAATTTTAAGGCCATATCGAATAAGGATGTTCACATCATTTTAGAAATTAATTAATGTTAGTAGCGGGGGGCTGGGCGGGGCTGATAAAGTCATGCATTAGGAGGTTCGTTGGTTGGTTGGTTGTAAACTTTTTGCCAATTTAGGATAATTTATTTATTTTTGAATTAAAAAAAATGAGTGGCCGGCCTGGTTCAACCTAAGACCAAGCAACTGAACTGGTCTGTCACCTTTATTATCGAAAAACAAAGAAAAAAAGGGATGCTCAATTAATATGTGGAATAGCAGTAGTAGTAGTAGTCCATGTACACAACAACAAACTTATAATAAGTTTAATATCCATTAATTCTATGGAGGTTTGAGTGAGAATAAAGAGATCATAATACATATAAATTAATCACCCCTCAGATCTACATGAAAGCTTTACTTATTGTTGTCTTCTCTGGATTGGAATTCATAAATAAAAACCACTACACGTTATTAGGCAGTACTGGGAGCTTCCGGAGGGCTGGAGCTGGAGGAGTATTGGGATCCTCTGGGGGAGTATTGGGATCTCCTCCTCCTCCTCCACCACCACCACCACAGTCCTTGGAGCACATGCAGCGGCGTCGAAATCCCTGGCAACCCCCAAAAAGGAAACCATTTTTTACACAGATGGCATTGCAGTTGCTGTCCAGGAAGCATAAACCTCTATATTCTGGGCTAGGTGCCTGGCAGAGTGCTGCTTCAGCACTGTTCATCATTATTTCCTCTGTAATTGCACAATACAGTACACACAGTCACACAAACACACACACACAGAAGAAGAAGGATTAATAGTGATCAATGTAGTTTTGTTGATAATAAGAGATCGAATTAAAAGGGAGAAAGAGACTCACGAGAAACCAAGAAAAGCAGCAATAACAGGCACCCAAACAACCTTGTGTCCATTCTTCAAGCAAAGCAAAACACACATCGATTATTATGATTTTCAAGATGCATGCAGGAACCTGCTGGTTTTATAGATAGGGTTGGGTGATGATGATATTTATCAGGTGATGATGCCAGATCAGCCACAGCACCCTCACAGGTGGCCTAATTCCAAACCCAATGACATTCTCATTAAACTGTACAGTAATGGGGTGTGTGAACGACAATAAATCTACTACTCCAACGTATTAAAGAGTTTCTTTTGTTCGGCAAAATATTATAATTAAAAGTAACTATGCCATTATCACCACGTCTATCTACTTATACCCTTTTATTACAGAATTGAATTATTTATTACAAAACAAAGTTTACTAGATCTACTATATTCTATCATGTGGCCTAACCACTCTCCTCTCCTCTCCTCTAGCTAACTATATATTACTGCTTTTAGCTTTTTGTTTTTTTAATCAGTTTTTCTCTCTCTAACTTCCAATACTTTTACTCTAACTCTCCAAATGGTGGTGGTGGTGGGAGAGGGGAAGAGCGATCAAGTAAGAGTGTAAAGGGTGAAGATAAGGTACAATTCACATTGCATGTCTCGTCAAGGGTGGACACTTGAACAAATTTATTTATTTTTGGTAGATAAAAGTGCCATGATATATTTATTTTAGTGAAACCATATTTGAAATATATATAAAATTCCAGTATGTACAAAAGAATGAAAAATAGGCATACATTACATACATAGTGATACAGGCAAAAAAACTTAAATACAACCATTGATCCAAATAAATTTTTATATTTTAATAATGTTACATAGTAATTTCATTAATTGTTTCTAATAATAACTCTCTCTCTCTCTCTCTCTCTCTATATATATATATATATATATATATAAACATGTTGTCGATCTTCCTTTTATTACTCACTCGGATATACAACAATAATCTCATCTAAACAATTTATTTATATTTTAATTTTTTAAAATAAAAAAATTCGTTGTATTATATCATCACTTTAATATTTAGACAATAAGAAAACAATTCCCTAATTTTAAAAACTATGAAATAACTCAATATCTTATTTACACGTGTTCAAAATGTATCCAAAGATTAATATATAATCATTTAGTTATGAGTCCATAACAATTGATATTGATATTGATATAGATATAGATATAGATAGATATTATAATAAGAAAAAAGGTTAGATTATTGTTGATTTTGTGACTTGAGATTTTATTTGTGCTGCCTCTGCTCTGCATGCATGCCTCTTCTCCAGATGTATATATAGAAATAATAATATTCTAACAGGCCTTTCTCACCATTTAAGTACGTAGTTTGATTATTACTCAGCATGCAATTGAATTGCATGGTTTATTAGTAAATGAGTAAAAGCATAATTCAAATTTGGTAGTTTTCTAACATACAGATCAACTACACAATACATCCTTTGGCATAAGAAGATCGATCGATCGAAACAAAGATATTTATTTATTCATGTTTATTGATAACTAAAAAGCACATAATTCCTTTATTTGGAACACACATGCGGATGCAATAGCTATGGATATGGATGTAGCCAGCCAGCCAGCAGTAGCTCAGCTGCTACTGCTAGTGCATGCATGCTGTTACATTATTATATATTCTATTTTATTTGTTCCATATTTCCACAGATATGATACTTTATACAGAAAGAGAGAGAGATGCATGATCAACAATTCCTAGTGCAGAAACAGCGACGGCGGAAGCCTCGGCAATGACCACCAGCGAAACCTTCGTTCCTGCACACAATACCACAGTTGTGGTCACTCCAGCACTGCCCCTTGAACCCATGGCTTTGCGACTCGCACAGCCTTGCTTCTACGCGCACCACTACCTTCTCTTCTGCAGTAATTAATTTACCATTACCACACCCAATTATATTTTTTGGTAACTATGAGAGAGAGAGAGAGAGACTCACGGGTAGCCAAGAGAAGTAGCAACAGCACGATGAAGCCAGAGTAGTATTTCCAGTTTGCCATATATGCCTTTTCAGCCTTACAATTGTTTACAAGCCTTGCTCCTGTTACAAATAGAGAATTGTTTCAGCCGGACATACTCCGTATGTTTAAGGGATGACACGTTGCTGATCACGGTGGCAATACGATAGGGGCTTCTCTGCTGACACACACACACGGAGCTTTATTACAACGACAACTGGCCTTCTATGCTATCACTCATTTGTATTGCGTTGATTTCCAGGTTGGTGTGACACGCATCTATTTGTTTATACACACAGGGTTGTTATTGATTTTTAGGACATCCGTCTGTTTATTTATTTTTAGTATTATTAATTGATTATATGACATCACTTTAAAAAATGATATCACTGTTATAATAAATATTTTCTTCTATATAAATATAAATATAGGTGGATAGATATAAATATAAATCTCTATAAAAAAATTTTAATTTTTTATTCTATTCTTAATTATTATGATAAAGTTAATTATACTTATCCATATACTTCTATCTTCATTTCTTACGTTTATTTGACTTTTAACTTGTTTTAAATTCTTTTATAAAAATTTTAAATTTTTTTAAACTCATTTATTAATAATAAAGTTACATGTAATTATCTACATCTATATGAAGATGTAAAATCCTACGATTAAATATATATTATATTTAATTTTTGGATATACAATAATATAATAATATTATAAGTGATTTAATCAATTTATTTAACAAATTAAAAAATAATAATATATAATATATAATTAGATACGTAAATATCTAAAAGGGTCAGAGAAATACCTAAATAAACGATAAATTAGGTACTCAAAAATTTATAAAATAAATTAATAATTAGAATACGGATTAATTATTCGACACCAAATTTATTATTTAATTTAATTAAATATATAATTCATATTTTTTATAAAAATAATATTATTTAAATCTATTTACTTGCATTAATGCAAGTGGAGCATTGCTAATAAGATAAAAAGTGTGGGACACGAATTCGAGCATCGCCGATCGGCACCCACCTTGGGAGAACCATGCCAGTCGGCAATCCACTATCCGAAGCTATCATAGTCTTGTCAGTTCACCTACAACCAAGCTACTACAAGTTCTTTTACTCACTTGCATCTCCATACGATCAAACGAATAAGGTATGATGAAGGAACAAAAGTCTTACTCTCACGTTAGTGATAAGTTCACTTGCGCCACCCTACAAGTACAATCTCTATCTTCAACATTAAAGCAAGAGCCCTAATTCAATACTACTTTACATATTGAAGAGTTGATAATATCAATGGTGGATCAACCCGACTCTGGTACCCCACGCTTAACGGAGATTACCAGGTTGTAGAATTCATTGTGGTCGAGCCAGCGGCAGAGAGAGGAAGCAATAGTAAGGTCGGCTTAGAGGAGTCTCGTGGAGAGAAATTCAGAGAGTATAGATATAGAGATGTTGCGCTCAGTGAATCGTGTGAGACGATAATATTTTCAGGACCATGTGACAATCCTACCTAATCTTAGGCTCGAAGTAAACCAAACAGCAGCAGAAATTGAGAAAATCAGCAGCATCCAGTTCACAAGTATATATGAAATCACATGTCAAACATATGTGGGTTACTAAATGAGTTCGCAAATGCTGAATATTCGTTATTTTTACGCAGAAACTGCGCCTACATGATGGGAACAAGGTCTGATTCAAACACAAAAATGGAACTCTTATCAACTTTATAAACTACCCCTATTACCAAACTCATTGTTGGTGCTAAAAAATGCAGTAGCTTCCTTTCATGATACTCAGCTGGTGGCCGCCACCAATGCCATGTGCTCTATCAGGTCCAACACTCGGTTGCTGCCAGCAAAAGAATGTCATATATCATAGCATGCCACAAGAAATGCATAGTTTGGTGTGGAGAGAGAGAGAGAGAGAGAGATTATACCTGTAACCCCATTCGTTGTCATACCAAGAAACAAGCTTCATGAATGACGCACTCAGCCCTATCCCAGCCTTCGCATCAAATATGCTTGACCTGGAATAAAACAGCCGTAAAGAAATTGACAACATTAACAGTAGCAATTGGAACAGCAAAATCCACTGGATGAAGACAGTGTATTGTCCAAGTTGGAGTAATTTTAAAATCACTGGCTGGTAAATTTGTGGATGAAGTAGACGGTGCAAGTTGTGGGAATTCAGGCAATTATTGACAGGCTCCAGAACGTCCCCTTAATTTCCATGGAAAATAATGAATATTCCTAATCTTAACATATATACCACTAAACAATCTGGAAGGTTAATCAGAATCGAACAATCAGTCAACAGAGAGTGTCTATTCATATATACAACAGACCAGGTATTGGGTTTATCAAGTAAATATATCCATTTATACAGATACTAGTTCCATCACTGCCCGAGATAAAATAGCACACACACACACCTGCGCACACAGAAGGGGGGGTGGAAGAGAGGGAATTCTACCTCGAGTCACCAACAAAATCATTTGAGACAACATCATCCTCAGTATATCCAAGAATGCCATTCAGTGGACCCTCGGAGGCATACCTTGGGTCACAAATTTGAAAGTAAGTTAGTGCACTATGATGGTGAGGTAAAGCTTGCACAGAGAAAACCAAAGCAAAACACAAAAAAGATAGACGGAGAAGGAGGGGGGGGGGGGGGTTGAAAAGCCAAAATAAACAAAAATATTTGTTTTATTTTTCATAAAGCAAAAGAGTTGCATAAATACTTTATGGCAGCTTTCACATCTTCATATGAAGCATTCTTCTCAAGTCGACAAGTGAGGTCTACAACAGAAACATTAGGTGTTGGGACACGGAAGGCCATTCCAGTGAGCTTTCCATTGAGTTCCGGAAGAACTTTTCCAACAGCCTACAAGCCGTAAAAATGCCATCACATTCTCCAGCAACCTTAAAAATGCCATCACATTCTCTAGCAATTGCAAGTATTCCTTTCCATGTGAATCTATCTCATACCTTCGCAGCACCAGTTGAACTGGGGATGATATTTTGCCCAGCCCCACGCCCCCCACGCCAGTCTTTCATTGAGGGGCCATCTACAGTCTTTTGTGTGGCTGAAAATCAAAGTGCGTAAGATACTGAACTAATAAAAAATATGTAGACAATGTTGAGAGAGAGAGAGAGAGACCTGTGGTTGCATGCACGGTGGTCATTAAACCCTCCAAAATACCAAATTCCTCATGAACCACCTGTAGAAAAATACCATAATGGAAACGCATCAAATGAGGTACTAAGTACATCTCAGGCAAAGGCTTTCACCAATATTTTTCTTTATTTTTTGTATTTCGTTATTTATTTATTATTATTATTTTTTTGGGGGGGGATGCTTTGGAGAGAATCATAAATGATGTATAACATAGCAAGTATCAACTGGACACTAATCTCTCACTATAAGTCGGTGATAATTAATGCGATTAACAAACAAGATTTTACAATGCAATTGAACCTTGGCAAGAGGAGCAAGGCAATTGGTTGTACAGCTAGCATTAGAAACAATATCCATGTTTGGCATGTAGGAGTTCTCATTGACTCCCACCACAAACATAGGTGCATCAGCTGATGGAGCTGAGATCACCACCTTCTTTGCACCACCCTGCAAAGTCAAGAAGTGTTCAGCTTGGGGTGCTATTGGGTTTTTTCCTTGGGTGGGGGAAGATAAATGGTAACCTATAATAACTAACCTTCTTGTGTGTTGCTGCCTTCTCGAGTGTTGTGAAAATTCCAGAAGATTCAACAACATAGTCAGCGCCATAATCACCCCAAGGAATCTCAGCTGGGTCCCTGAGTAGACATAAATTTGGACGCCAATGGTGGCAATAAATAACCAGGCAGATTATGTCAACAATGGACTTAATTTCTTTGAGTGCTGGTACAGGACAGCTATTTTAGATTCGACACGAGAAATGTGGTAATACCTTTTGCTAGTAACTTTAATCTGTTTTCCATTAATTTCCAAAGTAGAATCATCCAAGACCTTGATGGATCCTTTGAAAACTCCATGAGTAGAATCATAGTTAAACATGTAAACCTGAAAGAAGAAACAGCACATATCACTGCCATTCTTCATAATCTTAATGTGAATCAATAATCATTACACTTAGCAGAGAGAATATACATCAGTCAACCAAAAAAGGGAGGCTGGTTATATAGATTAATAAAAATACTACACAGCAGAATACAAGCAGAGCGACTATTTATGACAGTTGGGAAGCAACAGCCTGCCTTGTTCGTAAAGAATCGGCAAACAAATTTTGGCAGTGTTCTTAAACCATACAGCCACTTTCTGGATTCCAAGAAGATTTAAAATTTCTACATGAACGATCGAAATAAGCATTAGGTCTGGGGGTGCCAAAGACTGGTCAGACATCACATTTGTGAAGCCCAAGGCCCGCTGGCCTCAAATCCTGAAACTATGGGGAGTAAATTGCTATTTATATCCTTTTGAATCATTGTTTTTTCCAGGTACCGATGATGTATTTCACTTACTAACATAGCGTAGAGATACACAGGAGATGCATCATCTCCTAATACGTCCATCATGTTTCAATCTTTCATGTACATTTTTAGGTTTACAGTGGAGTTGTATTTCAGTAAATTGGGCTGCAAAACATTACATTGACATGCTAATACACGGGTCAATGTAATTTTTTGCAGCACAATTTACAGCAACTGATATTTTGAAAATTTCCATAACTTCATTAGCCAGGTCAAAATTTGAATGGAGCACAAACCATCTGACTGGAACTTAGTAGTACAACATTCTAATGTTCTTGGCAGCCTTTGGTCTTGTTGACCCAACTTGAGTTTAACCCAACATAACCACTTATTCATATCCTTTTGGTGATCATGTTGTTGATTTTTTCCTATATCCAACATTAACAGAGAATTGATGTGATGTATATTATATTAGGGAAGAATTAGGGATGAGAAGGGAAGAAGAAGGGAATGAGAAAAGAAGAAGAAGAGGATGAAAATAGAGATAGAATTTTAGGAAGAAGATTCAATATCAATAATTAATAATTAAAGTCTACAAATCCTAAAAGAACTCTAAAAGAAATAAATAGTCATAATGACAACTAAACCCCTAAAAAGTATAATGACAAATAACTCCTAATCCTTGCGTCAGCGCCTATTATAACAAAATATAATCCGATTCCTATCATTTCCCCCCAGCTGAAAAGAACTCGCCTCCGGAGATATACGATCATGATAATGGTCTAGAAGATCAGGGTCAATCCGACGAAACTCCTCTTCAATAATCCATGAATCATCAGTCTCTGGACGATCTCTTCACCGAATAAGATAAATGACGATATCCTCCATTTGAGGAGCCCACAATCTGATCATCAAGTACATCTGCGATCTGGTCATACAGCTGTGGTGGAAACGGTGGAAGAATATGAACTGTAGTTGATGCTAATGACGAAGCAAGTCCACCTGTAGGAACACCTGCTGAAAACATAGGAGGCTCAAAAATACCATGATAAGGAAACAAGTCCTCCACATTGAAAATAGGACTAATACTCACATTCAAAGGTAAGTCAAGGTGATATGCATTAGGTCCAAGCTTACAAAGAATACGAAAAGGGCCAGTGGCTCGAGCATGTAACTTTTTGAAAGAATTTTTAGGGTAACGTTTAGGATGCACACGAATCATGACATAGTCTCCCACAATAAATTCTTTATTCCTACGATGAACATCTGTAGCCAATTTATAATTCTCATTACTTAATGTAACTTTCTGTCTTATGTCGGCATGCAAGTCATGAATATGCTGGGCAAAAGCTTCGGCTGAGTGTGAGAGTCGGGAATCAGGAGGTAAAGATAATAAATCAAAGGGCTGTCTAGGGGAATGGCCATAAACAATCTCAAAAGGGAATAGACCAGTTGACCTGTTGACGGAGTTATTATAGGCAAATTCAGCAGTAGGCAACAACAAATCCCAATTTCCCATCTTCTCACCCACTAGATACCTAAGCAAATCTCCTAACCTACGATTGACTACCTCAGTTTAACCATCAGTTTGGGGATAAAAGGCAAAGGAAAACTTAAGACTAGTTCCAAAGAATTTCCAAAGTGTCTTTCAAAAATAACTCACAAACTTGACATCCCTATCAGACACAATGGAAATAGGCAACTCATGTAATCAGACGACTTCTCTAAAAAATAACTTTGCTACATGTGAGGCATCAGTAGACTTAGTGCAAGGAATGAAATGGGCCATCTTAGAAAATCTATCCACGACAACTAGAATGGAATCATGATTACGGGTGTTTTAGGCAATCCTAAGACAAAGTCCATATTAAGGTCTCTCCATGGTGTGTGTGAAACTGGTCATGGTGTGTACAACCCCGTGTTTTGTTTCCTAGCCTTTGTTAATTGACAAGTGCGACATTGTGACACTATCCTAATAATGTCACGCCTCAAAGTGAGCCAATAAAACCTATCCTCAACAACTGCAAATGTTTTATCCCTACCAAAGTGGTCTGCCAAACCTCTTACATGTAATTCTCAAATCAGGAAATCCCTAGTGAAGTACGGGGAATACATAAGCGCAACCTTCTAAACAAGTAACCATCTCTAAGGAGGAAATCAATGTACTCATGGCGGTTACCAAACTGAACATCCTGAAAAATAATACCAAAGTCAGGACAAGAGGCATACTCAGCTCTAATCCTGTCAAAGCCGATCACATGGACATTCATAGTCTGTAAAACAGTAACTACACGGCTAAGAGCATCCGCAGGCTTATTTTCAATGCCCGCTCGGTGGTGAAGAACAAAAGTATACTCCTGAAGGAACTCAACCCACCTAACGTGCCTAACACTCAATTTTCTTTGGGAATGAAGGTATTTTAACGCCTGATGATTAGAATATAACACAAACTCAGATGGCAATAGATAATACCTCCAATGGCGAAGAGCTTGTACCACAGTGTAGAACTCTTTGTCATATGTAGAATATTGTTGTTTAGCTTCATTGAGTTTTTCGCTGAAGTAAGCAATAGGATGACCCTCTTGACTCAAAACTCCACCTATCCCTACACCAGATGCATCACAGGCAACCTCAAACACTTTAGAAAAATCTGGGTGTCAAAGAACGGGTGCCTCAGTCACCCTGTGCTTAATTTCTTGAAAGACTCTAGTTGCAGCAAGTGTCCATTGAAACTCCCCTTTTTTCATGCACTCTGTGATGGGAGTCATAATGGAACTAAACCCTTTAATAAATTGTCTATAGAAAGTGGCAAAACCATAAAAACTTCAAACCTCAGAAATTGTTCTTGGCACTAGCCAATCCCTAATAGCACGAATTTTCTTTGGGTCAACTACAATACCATGTGCAGAAATAACAAATCCAAGGAAAAACACTTGAGTTTGCATAAAGGAGCACTTCTTAAGGTTCGCATAGAATTTTTCCACACGTAATGTCTGCAAAATCTGTCGAAGATGATCCAAATGCTCTTCTTTAGACTTACTATAGATCAAGATATCATCAAAGTAAACAACCACAAATTTTCCTAGGAAAGGACACAGTATCTGAGTCATAACCCTCATAAATGTGCTAGGTGCATTAGACAATGCAAAAGGCATGACCAACCACTCATAAAGTCCATCCTGGGTTTTAAATGCGATTTTTCATTCATCTCCTGGTCTAATTCGGATTTGATGATAACCACTGCGCAAATCAATTTTGGAGAACCAAAGTGCACGGGCCAAAAGGTCAAGCATATCTTCAAGTCTCGGTATAGGAAATCGATACTTGACTGTAATTTTGTTAATGGCACGGCTATCAACACACATTCTCCAAGAGCCATCTTTTTTAGGGGTTAACAAAGCAGGGACAACACATGAACTAAGATTACGACGAACAGACCCTTTTTGCAACAGTCCATCTACTTGCCTTTGGAGTTCAGCACGCTCAGTGGGATTCATACAATAATGGGGAAGAATAGGCAACTAAGATCCTGGAACTAAGTCAATAGCATGCTGAACATCTCTCATTGGTGGCAACTCATCGGGTAATTCTCATGAATCACATCATGGAACTTTCTCAATAGACTATCAACTTCAGGCAAAAGATCGTCTTTAGATTCCAAAGGACTTTGAACAACTTCTTTGACAACTAGAGCTACCATTATACCAGACTCTTTTTTCTCTTTTTCAAATTCTCTATGGGTCAAAATGTGAAAGTCTTTCTTGTGAATTACTGGGGAAGATGACCTATGCTTTGAAGTATTACAATCTGAGGGTTTTGCAGGTTTTAACTTAATGATTTTCCCCTTATGCTTAAAAACAAAGGTATTTTCTCTCCCATAACTTGTCACATCTAGATCAAAAAGTCAAGGGCGACCCAACAAGACATGAGCGACATCCATAGGTAAGACATCACACCATATATGATCTGAATAGTCACCCATCTGAATAGGGACCTAACATCTATGTGAGACTCGTAAGGAGGTCTTGTCAACCCATGCAACTTTGTAAGGTTGTGGGTGTGTCTCTGACTTAAGTTGCAACTAAGCTACAGCTGATTTAGAGATAACATTCAATGAACATCCCCCATCAATGACGACCTTGCAAACTTGACCCCCACATCGGACTAGAGTATGAAAAATACTGGTACGTTTTCATGCTTCTGTGTTTGAGGGGGTGGATACGATACATCACATCACATTGACAGAGGTGTCATCGGTTTGCCACTCTTCCTCACCCTTATCTAGTAATTCTAAGGGTTCCTCATCCAAAGGATCAACTTCTTGGTCAATATCCTCTCTGTCAAGTGAATTCTCTAATCCCTGGTCAATGGTCAAGGTACACTGAGGGCACTGTGAAGCAATATGACCCTTGTCATGACAACGGTGACACTCTATGGAAGAACTATCCTAGCGAGAACCTGTGAGTGTAGAATCTCAACCCCTAGTGGTATTACCTCTCAAGTTGGGGTAATTGTTACTCCTGGATGTGACAGGGCCTGACTGGGTGACGCCTCGAGACCGATCAAATGAGACTGACCTTGATGGTTGAGATTCTCTGGTTTGAGAAGACATTCGACGCTGAAAGGGTGGCCTAAGGTATTGTTCAATCTCTAAGGCTTTATGCTTCCTCAACCGTTTTAGGAGAGTGTAAGTTAAGCTCTCTCTTAATCTCAGGTCGTAAGCCATTAATGAATTTTGTAACTGTTACCCAAAGCTCTTCCTTTATGTCACATCTCAGAAAGAGCTCTTCAAATCGAGCTAGGTAATCAGTAACACTCGAGATCAATTGACGCAAATTCATCCACTTGTCCAAAAGTTGGCACTTATAGTAACTAGGGAGATATTTATCTCGCAATCTTTGTTTCATCTCAACCTATAAAGTAATGGGTTGTTCCTCTAGGCGCTCTTGGTCTCGTTGGACTCCCTGCCAATATCTCTTCGCCGAACCAACGAGTTTTATTTTGGCAAAATGAACCCAATGGTTGTCGGACATATCATACCAATCAAAATAGTTATTCATGTCATCCAACCAATCTAAGAAAGCAACAGGATCTAACCTACCATCAAAGCTAGGAGCGTCCACTTTGACTCTTTGTGTGATATCCTTAGATTCTTCGTGGACATGTCTATGTCAAGGATTATGGTAACGCGGAGGGAGAGACCTATGGTATCTGACATGTGGACGGAAGGGCTCACGATAACCATTCATATCACCCTCTACTGAATAGTCAGACATGACTACCTTAGCGGGATCTTCCTGAACATTCCTACAACCTATTAGGAGGTGTCTTCCTATCTGGACGCTGTATTCGGCTCCCCTGAGCTACTTGCAGAGTGGATAGGACACCTTGACATGAGTCAGTAGGATCTATCGAGAGAGGTAGGTGCCGAACATTGGGTACTTGGTTAAACTTAGGTGAAACTTGTGACTCACTCTGGTCATAGTTTATTGGTCGTTTTTCTATAAACTTAATTAATTGGGCTAGTTGAGTAGTAACTTGAGAAAGTTGTTGCCCTATTCCTTTAACTTCCTCACATAACAAGTCGACTGATTGTTTAATATCGGTCATATCAATGGTGAGGATCTCAAATTTTTGTTCTAATGCAGTATGAGATTCTGAAAGCTCACGAAAGGTCATAGTGAATGTAATATAAAATTTGGGCTAATGTAAATGGCCGACTAGACTAAAAATTAAACCAAGTAATAAAAATTATAAATCAATACAAATGGTTACACATAAGAACAAGCTTATTGTAAAGAAGGTCAAATAAACGTGAGACAAGCAACACTAGATTTAACAAGAAATTAGGTAAGCTAAGTTATGAAGGTGGTGTGTGGGAACAACAAACAAAGAAGGTTATGAAGGTTGTTTGACTTACTAACAAATATAAATACTAGTCACTAATTCTTAACAAAAAGAACTCGTACTTGGTGTTAGATGCAACTCTAAGAGGATGCTTGACAAGTTAGGGGATGATCCTACAAAGTGTAGAACTTTCTGGGTGTTTCTGTAATTTCTGAAACTTCTGGAGTGAGGTTTCTATAATTTTCTGAACCTGTTGGGACGTTTCTACAATACTGAAATTTCTGGATGATATTTTTGCAATTTACTAAAACTTCTGAGGTGATTTTGTAACTTTTGGGAACTTCTGGGGATGTTCTTGTAATTCTGGAGCTTTATGGGGGTGAAAGGGTTAAAGCTAATGTCTTCTTCCTCAACACGATCGAACGAGGAAGAAGATGGGCAGCGATGAAGTCGAAGCACTACAGGTCATCAACGAAAGCAGGCGCAATGAACAATAACAATGATGAACAGTGCGCAATTTTTTTTTATTTTTTAAAGTACGAGACTAGAACAGTGTGCACGATGAATTTTTTTTTTTACCTGGACAGCCGGTGAACAATGATTTTGCGCGAACAATTTTTTTTTCGATGAACGGTGTTGTTGAGATTTTTGTGATTTGTACGAATCGAAGTTAAGTTCTGATACCAAATTGATGTAGATCATAATAGGGATGAGAAAAAAAGAAGAAGGGGATGAGAATAGAGTGAGAGAATTTTAGGAAGAAGATTCAATATTAATAATCAAAGTCTACCAAAACAAATAACATATCTTCTATATCTATAGGGAGCCCACAAATCCTAAAAGAACTCTAAAAGAAATAAATAGTCATAATGACAACTAAACCACTGAAAAGCATAATAACCAAATAACTCCTAATCCTTACGCCTACGCCTACTATAACGAAATATAATCCGATTCCTATCATGATGTAGCCTTACCGGTGCATCCAATGGTAGTGCTTATGATTAGTCATATCCTTTTGCAATGCTCGTGGGGTTAGATGATGTAAAAACGAAGAGACAAATACCACGTCACCAAGGAAAATTATAGACGACAATTTTGAATCACCATCAAAAAGATATCTGATCACATACCTTGGTACTCTCACTCTCTCTCTCTCTCTGTGGAAATAAGGATATAGTAGTAGTACATGATGCCACAAGTGAGTTGCGGAGATCATTGCAGTTCAGAGTGCATGCATGAGGAAAAAGTTACGGGGGCCCTATGAAAGGTTTTCGAACTCCTCTTTGCGTCATATGAGAGAGAGAGAGAGAGAGAGTCAGATGCCTACAAACGTATGCATGATAGCTCCCATTCTACATGTACAAGCCACAAGGTGCATAAATCCAGTGACTTCAGCCGGTATATTCAACACTTCTCTAATCTCTTATATTAAACATAAAAGTGGTATTCCATTTAGAAGTTGTAAAATAGCACTTTGGATAATTTTAGCAAGCCAAAATAAAATTGTAATGTGTGAAGTGCAGTTCATTTAGTGATGCAAACTTGCGTCCATTTTCTGTCTCAAAGCAGCTAACTTTTTTTCCCTAAAAAAAATAAAGAAGAAAGAGCAAGAAAGTACAATTGCTAGTACAATGAAGACAAGACATCCTTACCTAAAAATAAAAAATAAAACATACCAGATAGCCCTCCATTTCATTCTGCGCAGATACAAGCCTCTAATACTTGAGAAACGACAATAAAAACCACGACAAAGCTAATTATACATTCTTACCATGTACTTAGCATCCACAAAAGGATCATTGACTGCTACCACATCAATATCATCCCTCAAAGTTGCAACTCGTAAAACCAACCTTCCAATCCGTCCAAAACCTGTGAGATTTGAACACTTACATAGGCTTTTTCTTCAACAACTGAAATAATATACGAAGAACCATAACAAAAGATGATCAAATTAAATAACAGGATGTTATATGTTCCTTATTCAGCACGTAAACAGCTAAAATTTGTGTAATACGTGCATTGATATTCCAAGCAGGAAATTATTGACTTCAGCAACACTCGTTTCACTAGAGCAGAAAGTAGAAACAGAGAAAAGAGAGAACAAAAAAATTAAAAACAAAAATCAAAATGATGTACACCCCAAAAAAGATGAAACAGAACTTAATAATTAACAAAGCATACCATTGATTCCAACTTTTGTTTTCCCACTGCTTCGTAATTCTAAGCAAAGTAAAACAAATTGAACTCATCAGCATATACAACTCCTCATTCAACAGAACCGACACAAATTGATCTACAAAGGTAAAAATCCTTTACTCTGAACTGTAGGAGGCATTTCCGTGGCAGTGGCTCTAATTGGCTGAATACTCCGGGTAATAGATTTTCTTAATTGTTTTTGAGCAAGAAAACCAATGTATGGACTATAATCAGTGAACAATTCACTCCATTACAGTCAAAACAAAAACATAAAAGCACAGAGGCAGAAACAATTGGACTACTCAACTGTAAAGACGACGATTCCCCTGTAACAGAAGCACCAAAGATGCTTGACTGAAACATGATGGAATTAAAATTTGGAATGGATCCAACGCATGATACCTGAATGAAACAAACCATAGTAATTTAATAGTAAATCCACCACAAGTGATGGCGAAAACTAAATCGGGATAGTCCCCTTGACGTTAATCACTGATTCACTATAGTAGCTTCAAACTAAACAGAATCACATTTCCAGTGAAATTCACCTGAAATATTAGACAAGCTAAACGCTAGCAGAAAGTCAAAGTTCCAACTCGAACAGAAATAGATTATCGAAGACCAAAACCAATTTGAAAAAAAATAATAATAATAATGAAGAAGAAATAAAATTCTTATTGAAATTTTTGTAATGAATCAGTGACAGAATAAGTGACCTTGGATCGATTGAGCGGAGGGCATGCGGAGGCAGAGGGAGAGACCTCGAGACGCGAGGCTTGTAGAACAGGAGACGTAGTAGATCCAATGAGAGAAGAGAACGCCATTACAAAGATACGAGCTCTTCTCTCTACTGGTAACAGATCGATCGACTGGTAAGGCAGAAGTGGTAGTTACAGCAGATCCCTAAAAAAGAGAGGGAGAAAAAGCTATTAGCGAGGTTATTGCTATTTTTTGAGTTGAGACTCTTGACAGAAAGCGCAAAGCAACCCAAGTCTGCTCTCAAAAGTTTTTAAATGCGTAAAATGGGCGGAGATACTTAAGCGTGCAGGCAGACGGAAGTCACGGAACCCACCCTTCTGTCTACGCTGACTCTCTCTCATCTCATGAGCCAGCAAGTTGCCGTTACCGTTACCGTTACCATCTTCTGTGTTTCTCACGTAGTAGGCAGGTGAGTTTGGCGTGTTGTGCAGTGGGAGTGCATTGCTAAGCTCGCTATCGCCTCGATAGCCACGTCAAACTTTCCCCATTTTCTGGGCTTTTTAACTATATATTTAATATTTAATTTTTTGACCGAAAAAACAAATTTTAATTTTTAGATGGTAAAGAATTAATTTATTTTACTTTCGTCATGGCCATATTTTTTTACGAGCAATGATATATGAATTTAAAAAATAAAATTAAAAATTATATTTGATAATTAGAATCATTGTAGGTCTCAATATTTATTAGGACTCATAACTTATTCAATAATTAAAGATTATCAAATCTAATTTTTAAATTTATTAAACATTACTCTTTTTTTTACATTAGTGAGATTAAATGTGTTTTTTGTATCTATTTTTTCTCTCTCTTTATTACGAATGTTGAATTATTTTTTTATTGAAATATTTTAAAAGAGACTTGTTGAATTTTAAATTTTATTTTTTAAAAAATAATTTTTAATTATTATATTATTTTTGTATAATTTATAATTCTAAAAAAAAATAATGAGTGGGGTAGGGCAATCGAGACCCAAGCGTAAAGCCAACGCGTTGGCCGTCGGACTTTGTTAGGTGAATTGCGAGCAAACAGCATCACGTGGTCCACCAAGTAACGCTTCAAATGATTGTTAGGTGTATACTGACAAGACATCTTAGGCGCGTGTCTAAACTTTCCTGATTATTTTTGTTTGAACCTTCGAATCACGTGACACCTCCGTCACTTAAGGAACACGTGTCTTTTTGTGCTGCGGAAAAATACTAAGAGATAATTTTTGGATCTCAAGTATCTATCTAATTACTCGTGGCAGAAGGCAGGAGTAAAAAAAAAAAAAAAATTATAATAAATATATTTGTATTCACACTTTACAAAAATAGAGGAGAAATAAATGAATTTAAATACTAATTACAGTGAGAGCGAACAATGATAATAATGATGAGTAACAGTGATAGGTGGTAAAAAACGGTAATAATTGTGATAGATAATTATAACAGGTTGTAATGATAGCAACTATAGATAACAATGGTGATAGTGGTTAGGGGACAGCGGGGGTGACGTGGTAAGGGTGATTGTGGTGGTGACAATGGTGATGATGATGAGCCACTAATGGGGTGTTGGTGGTTTTTGTGGAAGAGGTGACAATAGTGGTGATAGTAACAATGGTAGTGAGGCGATAAGTGTGATAAGGTGGTGACCGTGGTGGTGTTATAAATATTAAAAACACTTTTAAAATATAACTCTAAACACACCTTTAAGTTTGAAGATCTGAACTTAAGAAAAAAAAATAAGATAAAAAAATAGGAAAAAAAAAAAAAACACCCTTAGGACCCAATTTTCTATATTAAATTTAGAGTGTCAATATTAACCGTTAGATTAATTTTAAAGTAAAATTTAAAAAGACATCAACCGCGAATAGTAAAAATTATTTTATTTATTTTTTGAGATTTAAATTATATTGTACTTTATCATATACATTGATAATAAGTTTTAATTAATATTAACAAAAAAATATATTATTTATGGACCTAATTAAATTTAATATTTGAATTGAAGGTGAACTATATCTAACTAATTTAATGAATGCACTCACTCATATTAAAATTAATTATCACTTCAATAACAATAATATAGTTTTTATTAAATATATAGACACTATATATTATGGTCTTCAAATAACGCAAATATTGTATTACCCAACACAATCTAAAATAATCCATAGCTGCCACATGATTAGTAGATTCATTTATAGCTAATAATGTGACGCAAAGGTTTCAACACTGTCCGTCTGTCTTCCCAATGCCCGGTGTGCACCAAAAGGTGGCAAGTCTCTCTCCTACTGCTGATGGAATGGAAGTTGGGTTGACAACGTCAACCACCTGTCCTGGGGTGTCTGAGACGAGTCTTGTGGTTGTGGACAGCCCTCCGCCCGTAATAAACCAAAATTAGACAAAATCAGTCAAACCACAAAATCTCTGGAGGAGGAGGAGGAACGGCATCATTTTTTTTACCATCCCTCTAGGTTTTAGCTTTCCCCTATTTTCTCCGTTTCATCAGCAAGTATATTCATTCATTCCAGGGAAAGGAGGAGAAACTCCTTCCTCCTTCCATCCTCTCTCTCTCTCTCTCTCTCTCGTTATCCGAGGGAGAATTTCAAGTATCAAATCACTCGCTTTCTCCTGCTTTGTTTCTGGTACGTAAAATCCTGTCTCAACTCTCTTTACATTCAGGTTTATACATACATTCATGCACAAATGGTCCACCTGTGCTGGTAGATGATTGTTGGATATGTTTGTTAAGAAATTCAAACTCATATACGAAATAACGTAATCTGATTTTTAATTATGGTTCGAAAACAAAAATTCACAATGCACCATTCTGTGTGAGTTTGATTCTTGGTGGGGTTGATTGTTTTGGCCGTACAATGCGGGCCTCTGTTGGTTGGCTGGTTGCAATTTTGATAATCCACAATATTATCTGCAAAATAAAAAATAAAAAAATTGACGAATGATTGTAAGTGACAGTCCAAGAGATGGTTATTTTATTGGTAATTTGGAATTTCAGTTACCTTATTGATTGGTTTTTTAATTACAAGTGTTCCACATTCTTATAATTTTTCGGCATTTGGCAACTTAAAAATACCAAGGTCTACGATATTATATTGATAAAGAGCTGGGCATAGTGATTTTGTTCCTATTTCATAAGGTGCACATGTTTTTGAATGCCGAGCGATAGAAGAAAACCAGTTTATTGAAAGAGATTGGGAAGGGGAAAGTCGGGGAGCACGTGTATTTACTAATTAACTTCACAATATACTTAATGTCATAAAATGTTCATATCCCATTGTAGAATGTGTGCTTGGTTCTTATAAATTGTGTCATCTATTGCTGTGTCTGCTTTTCCAATGAAGTAACTTGAGGCCACTGTTAGTTATGTTCACAATGGATAGTTTTAAACTTTTAATTCTCCCTTGGCAACGACTTATGGGCCTACCTGTTGATAGTTTTCCTTGATCATATAGAGTTGCTAGCTTATTGTAACTATTGCTGTCCATGTGCAATTTTTTAATGCTTACATCATTGTTGTAACATTCATATTTGCTGGTGCCTATGCTTTAAATTAAATCAGTCTTCTTTCTGCTTTGGTTGGGGTGTGTAAAAAGGAGTCTTCCCTCTGCTGTTTGATTCCATAAAAACATCTCACACAATAACTAGGATGGCTGTCAGCTTCAAATACTGGGATGATTGCGTTGATGCCCAGGACTTGGAAGCGATGTGGATGGATCCTGAGGTAGGTGCTGAATGGATTAATGCTGGAGAGACTAGAGAATCGAAAGTTCACCTCTCACGTGATCCTGATGGGCAGCCTTATCTTACACAAACTGAGATGAAGGTAAAACAAATTCATGTCTCAAATTCTTCTTAGAAAGAGCCTCCCTACCTTCAATTGCATCTAGGATGAGAAAATATTTGACTTCTCTGTGAACATTCCTTTGGCGGACTCAAATAAGTAAGATGCATCAAAATATGAAAAACATGAAGTTACAACAGTAACTGCTGGAATTTTCGTTTTGCTCACCCTTTAACAAATCCCCTGTCCAATAGTGAAGTTACACATCTACTAAATAAAATTATTTAGTTTGTGATTTAAATTATCTCGTGCAAGTCATCTGTTTCTGAACAGTGCTTATTATATGATTGGCATTGGATGCTGTCTTTTCAGGCTGTGGCTGGGATTATTGTCCGCAGGCATTTTGTTTCGCAGATAGACTCGGTATGCCTTCTCGTAATTGAAATGTGTAATATTTCACAAATTTTGTACAGGAGTATTATATGGTCATCTCTTGACGATGAAAGTTTTCAAAATTTGATGATTTCTAAATCAGGTGGTAGAAAAAGTTTATGTTGTCCCAAAGCTCCCTTTCCTTTTTTATGAGCGGCATCTATTCTCTATAATATCCTTCCAATACATGACAGTAATTAGTACAAGTTTCATCTTGGCATTTGAGCAGCAAGTAGCAACTGACCTCGTTTAGTTCCTCTATTGTTTTTCTCTGCTAAATGTTCATGAGCTTAACATTTGAATGCTGCAGGGAAGTGAAACCCACTGTGCAAGTGTCAATTTATTTGGTTATATGTGTGCTATAAGCCTATAACAGTAATATTCCTTTTATAAAGTCTATCATGCAATTGTTATGTTTTTTTAAGGCCAATATACATGATTCCTAGGGTACTTGGATGTTTTCTGGTCACTAACTGAATGGGGAACTGAGTGACAACAGTGCAAACGTATATGAAGAATTCTAAGCCTGGCATTCTTTTCCCGTTTGGCAGGATATGATTTGTGCTATTGCCGAACTTGAGAGTGACAGGCAACCCCTTGCTACACGATATAACAAAAAAAGTAAAGAGATTACTGTGGGGATCATGCATATTCTACCAAAAACTACAGAGTGGCTGGTCAGGTACTAATTATAATTTCAATTATGATTGGAGGGCATGACTCTGTGAAATGCTGCAATTTTTTTCTGCGTGAAATGAATTTAGAAACAGAAACTGCTCACAGAGAGTTGGGTTACAAAGCATATGAAGTGGAAGGGGACTCAAAACTTCTGTACAAGCCTTTCGTAAATGTATATCTTGGTGCTGCCTACCTTAAGTGGTTATCGAATTATGACCAGAAGTAAGTTGATAAAGATTGATTGATCTCGTCTTATTGGTTCTTTTGTGTATACATGCTCTTCTAATCATAGCAGTTGCATGGAAATGGTGATCTATGGTTACAACTGCTATTTTGAGTTCCCTTAATGCTATGTCTTCAGAGAAAGAAGTGAAGAGTTCATGGTGAGGGCTTATAAAGGTGGTACAAAGAAGGCAACCCACAAATCAACTTTGCAATATTGGCGACGGTATCTTTCTGTCAAGGAAAGTCTTCCATCCAGGTTGTTTCTTCCATTCCATGTCATTAAGTTCGCTTAAATCAGGCCTGCAATTTTCTTGAGCTATTTTTACATGGGACCTTGCTCCACCTCCACTTTCCATGGCAACATAGCGCAGCAGGACATAGTATAGGTACCTGTAGAAGCCACATAAAGAAAATGAGAAGCTGTTAATGAAAAGCCACATAAAGATGGGTAGATACTCACGAGCTTTCTCATTCTGATCTCTACAGTTTCCGCATCTTACTACATAGTTTGAACAAAGCCTTATTCTAGCAATTGTAAAAATGCTCACCACCAGCTCTATAGTATTTGTTACATTATTGACTCACCTGACAAAAAACCATCAAATGCAATCTTTAAAGATGATTTATTTGGTAGAACACTTTTCAACTATACATTGAATCAAAAAGTTTGGATCTCTTGAAGGAATGAAAATGTCATTCCGGCTTTGATTTTGACATCTGTAATTATTGTGCAGAAAAATCTTTGATGTTGGTCCGTTGCCGAGTGGTCCTTCCACTTCTGCTGCTCCAGTTTCAAAAGAGGAAGGTACTGTTTTTGTGACAGGATTGCTTACATAGAATTCATTTACCTTCTTAGTCTGGATTAAGAAACTTCGGAGAGTTTGGCATCTTAATTGAAATAAAATATTTGCTGGGAAACTGTTAAAACCATGGTTACCACAATTCACTAAACCCTTACCGACCCACGATCTTGGTATATCGATCCCAAACGAGATGGGTTCGCGATTCAGATCACCAAAATGGAGACCCCAAATTATAATACTAACTCTAAATCAATTCTCTTAAGAATATGTAGCTCAAATATAATATTAATTGACTAAATGTATATAAATTTATAATTACATATTGTTTTAGATAATAGAAAATCAAGTACAATTATAAGATAAATAATAACTAACTTAGTGTTTATAAATGTTCTGTAATATATAATGTTATTTAGTAATGAAAACGATCTATATAAGAGTTCCAAAACGAATTGCGACCCAAAATATCTTACTAGCTAAACCTACCCCCATCGTACCACGTACCTAAGAAAGTGTCGTATCATATATCCGTACCACGTACCAAAGCGACCCACAATTTAGGTAACATTGGTTAAAACTTGGTCGGTACCGAACAAGAAAATACTACGTTGTCTCTTAGTGTCATTGGACCATCTAGTCAGTCTCACATGCAATTCTCATTCATTGACTGTGTTATATTAATCTTGGATTCCAAAACATAATGATCAAGGTGAAACCCATTCAGTAACTATTAGCAACTCCTCAATTCTTATCATGGTTACCCATTCCTGTGGCTGTCTACCTCAATTCTCATCTTCTTCTTTTACTTGACTACTTGGTTACTCTTTACTGGTGAAGACGTAATTTGGAGAATTTCTTTTTTTTTTTTTGGAGGGGGGATATTGTGGTGCAAATGAATTATTCCAGAATGCTACTTTACTGTTGTGAATTTTCTTGACTTCTCCATTGTTTTATTTTTTTTCTTCAAATAATGGTTACGGATCTTTGTCTAAATTTATTTAACCTTGATGGGACCTACATATTGCCCTCATTTAAGTTGTGAGCCAAATGACTGGTGTTTAATGCTTCTTCAGCCTGTGTGTTTAACATTTGACAGATAATCACTACTGTCTTGTAATTAACAATATCTGTCCTACTAAATTTTTTTCCAACTTAATGCATACTAAGAGGAGAACACTGGAACTTCTTACTAAATCTTTTTTTTTACCATGACTCATAATTTTCTTGCAATACTATTTAGTATGTACTTCTTTTGTGAGGCAGCAGGTGTTGTCAAGATAACTTGGGATTCTAGGACTTCTCCAGAAGACATGGAGGAGATGTGGAATCATCCTATCGTAAGTAAGGAGTGGAACAAATCTGGAGAGAAACGGGGAAAAGTCCGATTTTCACTTGACACAGAGAAGAAACCCTATCTTTCCCGGGATGAATTGAAGGTATGATAAACCAAGTGTAGCTTGTCTAATACTTTGTTGCTTGTCTCCGTACATTAACAGAATGCTTTTTCTTCTACAATAGTCTGTTGCTATACATTTTTGCACTACTTTTTGGGTTTATTCCTGGCTATAGTTTTTTCTGTGAGTTTTTGAGTTTTATGTTGATGAGGATGTGTTGCATTCCATGGCCTAACTTCTTCCAGTCTTTGCGTTGTCTCTACTATTTGATGAAAGTTGGGAAGGTTGTTTTAGCTTGTACTGAAACTGAAATTTGTCAAATAGATGAGTTTGAGTTCCTTCTAGTGGGACTTTTATCATTGAATTGTGTTGGAATTCTTTGTAATTATAGAATGGGGACCACAGACAGTAATTACCCTTTGCAAGCGGCCAGAATCTAAAAAAAGGTGCCCCAATGCACTGGGTCCCACCCTTGCAGGTTCTGGGCAGGCGACTAGCATTTGATAACTAAAATTTATGTGCTGTGTAAATGAAATCTGTACAGTTCTTCAAAATCTTGAATTTTTTCTGATAAAAGGTTTTCATCTTTTTTTATTTCAGTTGACAAACTGTTTTGTGAAAATCTAAATTGCGCATACCTATACTCTCAATTACTGCTTTCTGCTATTTGTACTCTTTAGAGTGTAGTAGCTATTACTGACGAGGGGATATGATTGACTTTAACATATAATCTCAATTACTGATTTCTACTATTTGTGCTCTTTAGATTGTAGCAGCTATTATTGACGAGGGGATATGATTGACTTTAACATACTAATTAAGGGTAAATTGAAAGTCAAAAGTTTTCCAAGTTAGCTAACATTTACACGTCATATAGATGTTCAAAGGAATATTATTGTAATATTCTACTAGAAGTTGTTATCCTCTCCATAAGCTTGTTGTATGTAGCTCATCTCAGAAATCAAGAATCTTGGGTTCTTGCAGGCGGTTGCGGAAACCATTCTTTCAAAGCACTTCAGTACAAGACAAGTCCAACCAGTAAGTATACAGTCTTGCTAATGCTGGTGTAGTATGCCTTGTAATGAAGATGCTTCGTGGCAATTTTTTCCGGAACAATATATGTATTTTCAGGTTCTTATGTGATGAAATGACGTATTTTCCCTCCTTATATTGTACTCAAAGTGAACTACATATGCTTTCGGTTCTTTTATCGTTTAAATCGTTTTCACTGATGAAAATCTTATGGGTCAAATTTTACTACATTACTACAGATATTTTTTCTCCCAAATTTCATTTAGACATGCATTACTGCCACTTAAGGTTGCCACTAAGATGCTGGAAAATAAAAAAGATGTTCACACCATTCTCTTTGCTTTTCTATTTTTTGTTCTTTTTTTTCATCTTGCATTTTTCCTCTTCTTAAATTGATGCAATCGAAACAGTAACATGAGTTTTGGCTTATACTTTTGTCCTCATAATCACAATAGTTTGGAACATTCATTCGTCTGCGATTGTACAACACTAAGGAAAAAGCTTATCACCATCAAAATGTAAGACGAACCCACAGTATTGACAGGATTCGATTGTTGCGCCAATTAGGTGTTACTGCCTTTAGTATTCGATTTGGATATGCACATGACTATTGCGAGGGTGATATGTTAACAGGTTGAGCGAGAAACATCAGCGTTATGTTATAATTTTAATACGTTTTGCATGAATGACCTTTAGTTTAGAGAAGAATAAAGATTTTTAAAATGTAGTTCCCCATGGCAAAGACATGGCTTCACCATTATGTCGGGACATGACCTTCTTTGCATTTTCATTTTGGATTCTCTTTAGTCAATTGAATATTCCGGTTCTCAAATTTTTTTTTTCTTTTGTCTTTTCTCCTCTTCTAATCTGGTTTTCCTTTTGTCATCACCTCAAAAAAAAAAAAAAACACCTGATTCATTGTACAGACAGTTTTGTGTGCTCTTGCTGAGATTGTTAGCATGCGTTTCTTGAATGGGGTTGGACAACGTCCTGGATTGATGGGAATCGACTACCCTACAGCTCATTGGCTTTACAAGTATGTAACAACATCCTTATTTTCTTTGAACCTTAAGTGAAGCTTTCTTTCATCAGTAATTTAGTTGTTTTGGCTCCTTATATGGAAATTGGGAGACCTCATAAAAAGAATGGCTTCATCATAGTTCTCATAACACACAAAATGATTTTTTGTCATTCAAGATACTAAGATTGGGTCAGTACCAGATAATCTTTTAGATCAATTTATAAACCTTGCTGGGAATGAGTCATTTAGTATTTAAAAGTAATACGTTCTGAAATGCCAATAAAAACAACAGAGACTTCACGGAATGTACAATCACCTCATCATATGTTATATCCACACTGAAATGTGCTTTAAATTTCTGTGACTGATGTCCAGGGACTTGGGTTACAAGGCCTACATAGTGCAGTCTGTTGAGGATCTTACCAAGCCATTTGTTTCTATGTATTTTGGTGCGGCCTATTTAGCTTGGTTATCAGAATATGAAGGGAGGTAGGTTTTGTTCACTGTAAGATAGCATCAGAACTTTAGATTTATGATATTTCGGTTTTGCACTCAATGGTTATCTGGTGGTGTTGCTAGGGAACGGACTCCCCAGTTTGTTGTTCAAGCTTATCTTGCAGGGCCAAAGAAAGTGAGCTTTCAAGAAACGGATCCTATTTGGCTGAAATTTGAGGAAGCATTAAGCCGTTATGAAGGTTTAAAAAAGTAGGTACCTTCTCAGTTGTTTATTAACTCAACAGGAGTTTGTGATCATTGTTTGATTGATGAAATGATGTTTATAGGGAACAAGGGAGCTGCACCATTTTATGAGCAGATAACACCACCTCACATTCTCTAGAGTCTGTATGGCATCTAATCTTCTAGTTTTCTTGAATATGATTGGACGCTTTACTGACAAATAAAAAATAGATAGTATTTCAGAAGTCGTTTTGTGGAAGTGGAATAAGGAATATTTTTGGAGAGGAGATTTGTTCATTTGCAAAAATGCATAGAAGGTGCATCTGTATCCCTCGCTTTTCTTTGTAACCCTGTGGTGGGATTGGATGAACTTTGAAAGTGTTGAATATCAGGTAAGATTTTGTAATACATATCCAATTATTTTATGAATTCTGCTTCGAGGGATAGTTTGCTCCTAAGGTATAATGAGGAGCATCACAATTCCCGAAAAGAATCCAGATCAGCAACAAACGAAAGGTATTAAGAGGAGCATGGCTCTCTATTTGTACTCTATTCTTTAAAATCTATCTCTCTAAAGTATGAGTTACAATAGAGTGGTCAATTTTCTTTTCATGTTTGAAGAACCAATGTTGCTCTCGACTGTATTGTAAATAGTGCAAAAAAATAAAAATATATTTTCTTCATTAAATGCTAGTTAACTGTAGAGGCTCTTTCTCTGTTGGAGGAATTAAAAACAATTTCACTTTCTATTTTAAATTTTTAACAAACATGTTCTCTAAATAGCAAATGTGCTCTCTATGATAAAGAGCCGTATTAAAAAAATGATCTTTCAGTTATTCTGACATTCACCAAGGAAATTAGTTATCACCATCAAATAATGCATAAAATCAACCCAACCCGAAAGCTAATAAATACTCTAATCACGTGGACGTGGACGGTTACAAGAAAGTCTCGTGTTTTACTATATTTCATGATATTGCGTCTCATAATCTAATATTATACAATATTGAATTAAATCTAAAAACTCTCAAAACTCAAAAGTTCAGTGGTGGTCAAAACTCAAACTGTTTTGAACCACTACACATACTTGGCGGATACCTGTCCTGAAATTCATGCTTCAACTAGGAAATTACATGTCATGAAATATCAAATTCCCAGAATACGAATATTAATCAGGAGCATTTCGGTGGGCCTGTGGCTTTAGACAAGTCAAATGAAAGCCTATTAATATCAATTAGACCCCGTAGGCCCAAACCGTTTGCAATTAGCCGAGCGGAGGCTGAGAAGCTCAGCTATCCTCATGACTGACGGGCCACACAAGCCCAATCGATTCGAGTTCTTATGCGATTGTGAGGGCTCCGCCTTACACTCCACACGCTCTTCACGTGCACAACATCACAACAACGTTTTTATAATGAATAGTTCCACATAAGCCTCTGTGCTGTATTTTTTTTGTTCTTACGTCACAGTCATTCAGATTAGCACCCTCCCTCTTTCCAACTCCAATATCTTTTCACCACGTGGCTCAGGCCCTGAACACTCTTCCGCTCAAGCACCATTTTCCTTTTCAAAAGCGCTGTCGCCTCCTATCCCCCCCCCCCTCTCTCTCGCACAAGCACTATGACATCCTCTCTTTTAGGGTTTTGTGCCTATCCAAAGGGACTCTCAAGCTGAAGATAGAATGGGTAATTCATTCATGCAGTCTTGTTGTCGGCGTTTCTCTTGTGTGGCATTTGAGACTCCCTTTAGTTACTATATGTATTTCTCTGTCCATTTGTTCTCTAATTTATTTTCTGATTGGACATTCTCTCCTTTGTGTTTATTGCTTCTTTAGTGTGTATGTCTTCAAGTGAATTATTGTTAATTTTTTAAAATTTTGCTAGTTAATATTCTCACGTTGTTCATGACATAGACTGCACGAGGTTCAGATTAGGGGATTGTTTTTGAGAGAGAGAAAAAAGGTACATTTGGGCTTTATTTGATGGATGATCTCGATTGGTTTTTGTTTTTGTTTTTGTTTAAAGGGGTTAATATTGATTAGGTCTTGTTTTTGTTTAATGTTTCTTTTTGTTACGACTTTGTACTGGCACTTCGAAGTATTGGCATGCATGTGTTATGGATGGATGGATGGATGGATCTAGGCAAGGAACTAATTTCCCCGGCAGCGGGTTCACTCTCTAGATTGTGGTAGCAATTGTTTTGCCTCTTTCTTGTAAGTGTGTGTTGACTAGGGTTCTTAACAAGGTTTGGGGTTGTGTGAGAACTTAAAATTTAACCAAGGACTGGTCTGGTGCAATTTTCTTTCTTTCTTTTTCTTTTTTTTTTTGAATTCTTCCAAGTGTGACGTATTGAGACCATGTAGTGGATGACAGTTGTCCACAATTTGCATAATTCTGGTCGACATTGTTACAATTCGTGTATGACTGGCTGGGGAGAGACATTATATGGCCTTACAAGCAACAATGCCCCATCCTATAAGACAAATTTAGTGGCTAAACTTTTGTTGATTTGCTAGCATATGCAGTTATACTTTGAAGGTCAATCTTAACTCAGGATCTTGTCACCACCAAGAGGAGGATATTGAAGTCTTTAAGAGATAAGTTAGCGGTGATGCCAAAAAGCTCACATAATGGAGCATTACTGTTCTCTTGTTGATAATTTCGGTATATTGTACTGTTGAAAATGTTGTTGCTGGTTCAACTTTTAGAATTTACAAGGAAATTTTGTTTCAAGTTACCCATTTTTCATTGGAATCAAGGATGGAGGCAGTAAGGCTACTACTTTTCCCTCTGACAACTCATGAAATATGTGGAATCTCTTTGAGATAAAAATTTCCTAGGAGTGGATTTATAATCATTAGTCACCAAAGTTGTGGGAAAAATCATTGCCTATGAGTTTTGGGATGGATTCCATTGGAGCTTAGTATTCTTCAAATCTCAAATCAACGCGTCTCCTTCATGAAAACTTTTCGATCAAGGGGTTTGCCTTTTTGTTTCTTGTTTATGTAGTCTCATACTATGCAACTTTAGTGGAAATAGCATAGTTTCCTTGGCATGGTTGTAGGTTGATAAATGACTTATCCAAGTGTTTTGAAATCCAACGCATTTAGAGCTCGTTCTCATAATGTGTTTACTTTTTTTTAAAGAATATTTGGTAGCAATTGTTTTTGGGTTTTGACACTGCTTTTTTAGTCACTTTGTAAAGTATTAGTGTTTTTGCAGATTGAATATTTGGGATCTTTTTTTCAAATAAAAAAACTCAAGAGATAAAGATCAGAATATGCAAAGAATTTTACGACAAGTATTTTATACTGGTTTTTTCCTCTTGGATCGATCTGTATTAGTTCGTTGCAGCTGAAGCTCAAGTTAAGTTATTTTGCCTCATTCATAGGTAAAATTACTGATTGATAGAAGAAAACCAAATTTACCAAAATGTTTTTGGGATCAACAGATATTCTAGAAGTGGAAGATTATAGCAGTTATTACCTTAAAAGTGTTGGCATATAACAGTGGCAAGCTTGTTCATACAAGAGGGCTGAAAGCATCTTACTTTTTTTTTTTCTTTTGAAAGAGACAACCGATATTGCATGAGATGCTTCTCATCCTTTTGTGCGTGCATGTATGCTGCATGAAACCTCATGAAGACACTCGTAGTGAATATTTGTGACTTTTGAGTTGTTTAGGCAGGGGAAGGGTGAGAGAGGATTACTTGTTGTTACTTAATTTGTGGCAGCTATTAGATAATGTGTTTGAAGGGGTGGATTCTGTATTAATTTGTTATCAGGGTAGAGATGACTCTGGTTAAATACGGTTCTCTTCCATTTCCAGCATTGCAGTGAGGAGATTGTTCTAACAGTGTTGAAAGAGGCTTCATATTGCCCATGGATGATCACTTAGAACAGAGACATCAACAGCAACAGCAGCCAGTGGTGGGAGTTGTAGAAGGTGCAGGTCAAGTAGCCTATGGCACGCCTCCCTATCAAACATCAACTGTTGTTGCTACTGGCACTCCTGAAGTGGGCGCATCCTCCCCAACTCAACCTCATCCTACTTTCTCTGCTTCCCAGCACCAGCTTGCTTACCATCAAGCCCAACATTTCCATCACCAACAGCAGCAGCAGCAACAGCAACAACATCAGCACCTTCAAGTGTTTTGGTCCAACCAAATGCAGGAAATTGAGCAAACAACTGATTTCAAGAACCACAGTCTCCCACTTGCACGGATCAAGAAAATAATGAAAGCTGATGAGGATGTTAGAATGATCTCAGCAGAGGCTCCAGTTATATTTGCCAAGGCATGCGAGATGTTCATACTGGAGCTGACTTTGCGCTCTTGGATCCACACAGAAGAGAACAAAAGGAGGACCCTTCAGAAGAACGATATTGCTGCTGCCATAGCCCGGACTGATGTGTTTGATTTCTTAGTTGATATTATTCCAAGAGATGAGTTGAAAGAGGAGGGACTCGGAGTAACAAAAGCCACTATTCCACTTATGGGTTCCACGGCTGATTCGGTTCCCTATTACTATGTCCCACCTCAGCATCATGCAGGACCGACAGGGTTGATAATGGGAAAACCAGTTGATGAAGCAACTCTCTATGCCAGTCAACAGCCTCGACAGCCTCTGTCATTTATGCCGTGGCCACAGCCTCAGGAACAGCAAAGCCAACAGCAACAAACGGACTCTTAATGATGTGGAAGTAAAGCAATGACCATGCTCAGGCGTGCTGTGTATGTGTTATTAAGTGATGGATCGCAGTAGTGTCTCGTAGTGTACTGGTAGTTGTAGAGAAAGTAGGCGACTGTAATATTAAAACTTGAAAGATGATATGGATGTTGAATGTGAGGCAGTTGTGGCGTGTGTCCTTGTTTCAGGCCTCGTATCTGGTTGCATCAATTTCGGGTCTGTATTTGTGGTGTCTCCGAAGTTATTTGCAAAATGTGCAAGAACCCCTCGAAAAGTCTGAAAGCAAAACCATAGTTCAAGGCTTGTCGTTCAACTGTATTTTTTTTTTTTTTTTTTAAATTTATTTTGCTAGTGTTCATCTCTACTTTCTACTTATAATTTGACTATTCTGAAATTTTCAAACAACAAAAACATAACTTTTATTCAGACGTTTTTATTTCAGGGATTAGTATATAGGTGTTTTCAAGAGGATTTAAGGTGTCTAGATTTATATATATACCTGGCCCTGGTAGTTGGAGTTTGTAGAACCATTTTTGCACGAGGACAGAAAGGAGTATTAAATTAAGCTGTGGCAGGTGCTGATGTGGCTGGCTCAATTTCTTACTTGCGACGTGGCTGTGTATAAAGACCAGTCAGCAGCGCAATTCAACACGCACGCAAACGTCTCTCTACCATTTTGTTGGATAGAAAGAGCCGGTTTGAGAGCGAGACAGGAATTGGTTTTTGAAAGCATAAGTAAATATGAAGTCGCCGTTCAAGGCAGATATACTGAGGGGGAAGGTGGCCCTATTGACGGGAGGTGGGTCTGGAATTGGGTTCGAGATCGCCACCCAGTTCGGTAAACATGGTGCCTCTGTCGCCATCATGGGCCGTCGCATCGACGTCCTTCACTCTGCTGTCTCCACTCTCCAATCCTTTGGTATTCCGGTAAAAACACTACTTCTGTATTCTTCTTCGATCCCCCTATTCTGTTCTCCTGCTGAATTTGTTTCATTTTTAGTTTATTCTCCAAGTTTTTGTTTCATTAGGGCCAGATGATCTTGTGGATTTGATCAATTTAAGATATATTTACGAGTTATTAGGTTTCTCGTCCAATTATCAGTCCTGAATACTGAATACTATATATATATATGTTGGATATTCCATATTCCGACAAGTGAGCTCATGCAATCAGTTTTATTATGTTGCAGTCTTTTTTTTTTGCCCTTATAAATTCGATTCACTTTCTAGATTATCAAACCCGATTTCAACGGTTAGTCTCAGATGATTACTGCTCTGTAATCTTGTTGGTTTCCTGATGCAACAAATGTTGCGCAGGTGCACCCATGGATACTGCAAGTCACTTTCAAATGTAGCAACTATTGTTTTCTAGTCGGAAATTTCAGTTGCATTGGTTATTTCGTGGTAGATTTTTGTGCGTCAAGACTGAATGGGAACAATAGTGTTATTTTCTTCTTTTTGGGTAGAAGATTAAGTGAAAGGAATACGAACAGAATATATTCAGCACCAACATTTATGAAGGCCATATTAAGTAGTTCTAAACCTGGTCTACAAAGAAAAATGCATCTGAATCTAGATAGACAAAAATACTGACGCACTCAAACCACTGAAGGTCTTTGGATCTACCATCGTTATCTCTTCCTCATATAATGGTGAGTTTTGCTGATGACTTTATGCTCAATGTTGTTTTGTGAGATTTTGTTCCCCATCTCTGTGGCATATTTGTTTTTGTTGAGTCATGCAGAAGCTAGCCCCATGGGATACTCCTCCATAGAATGCTATGTGAGTCATCTGGGACAAAGCTGTCCTCTCTGTCCCCTTCATCAGATTCATCACATTTGTCTTCTGTGCGGTTGTTTTCTGCTTCATTAGAGTGATGGTTTGCCTGTGAAACTCTCTAACTTGCCCCAAGTTGACGGATGGCAACCTCAGGAATGAACTGAGGTTGGTTAGCTGAACTGGTGCCAAAGTCAGAGTTACACCAGTAGCACTGTGAATGTGTTTTCAAATGAGTATTTATGCTATGTGATGGAGACTTGTTGTGCACCACAGCTTTTCGTTGTTCTAATGTCAAGAGGGGCTGTGGCGTAGAAGTATCCACTGAGGACACCACTCTGAAAGCATAGAGCATAGAGGCTTCACTCTTTCATAAGCCAAACTTTGGTTATGCTTTCCAATGGTGACTTTGGGTATCATTGGCTTAGAAGTACCCACGAGCATAGTGTTCTCTAGAGGTGTCCTTTGTATAGGCATCTACTTTTTGATTTATCATCTTTCTAATGTTAGTTCCTATTGTCTTCATTGCAGTTAACACTAAAAGGGTAATTCAGGTAGCTGCACCAAAAACATTATTTTGTTTGCCCCAGCTGTTGTCAGCTGAAAACCTTGTTCCCATTTTCGTATGTCAATAAGTTGCTCAAACCATGGTCCACTACTAAGAAAGATTGAATATCTGAATTCCTGTAATTCGTGGCATTTTTAAATGTTTCGCCATGTGATGTATGTTCTGTATGTTTTGATTAATGTTACAAAATGTTTTGAAAATAAATTTTAAAATTTCTTTTCAATTTCAATCATGTTTTCAAGATGTTTCAAAAACATTTTCTAAACATTTCTGTTGTCGAGCTAGTCATAACTATGAATCGAAGCAAAATTTTGATCCTTGACTGGAAGACATTCCATTTTTCCTTTAGGTTACCACAAGTAGAGTATCATTGTTATCAAATGTTTGTGTGGTTGATGGTGTGGCAAGAGCTTTTATTCTATATTGAAGTTATTTTATATGATTGAGGGTCTCTCCATTCATTGCCTATTGATTTTGGGTTGTATGCCTGTAAATGGATGTTTGTGGCTGCCACACTAGTTCATTTTTGTGACGGCCAAAATACATTGTTGGACTAATTCAGCCAAGGTTTGAATGAATCTGACAATGTTAGTTGATAGTTTCCTGGTTTGATTTGGTTGGTAGGTTCTTTCAAAGGAAATTTGTTTTTTATGCCACCGTTTAACTTGATTTGTGGAATTTAAACTGCTTATTTTTCAGGCTGTTGGCTTTGAGGGGGATGTTCGCAAAAAGGAAGATGCAAAAAGAGTTGTGGACTCAACTGTCAAGCATTTTGGCAAGATCGACATTCTTGTTAATGCTGCAGCCGGAAATTTTCTTGTATCATCTGAGGATTTATCTCCTAATGGGTTTCGAACAGGTATTGTTTAATGTAAAAAATCTCAAGATATGGTCAGGATGCCATGCATTTTAAACAGTTATTGTTTAATTTAAAAAATCTCAAGATGTGGTCATGATGCCATGCATTTCTATGCTCTCATATGTCATTCATTACATTATAATAACACAACTAGTTTCCTTAAATATTCAAATTGTCAAGTCTATCCATGCCTTATCCATATTGAGCGCAATCTTTTGAATTTTAATTTTTTTCTGAGGTGCTATGAAGTATGGATACATCATCGAAGTCGATGTGCTCATATCGGATACCGTATCAGATACGATATTTTTTGGATATTCGAAAATACATATCAAATATGAATCATATTTATTCGATAATTAATAAAATATGTGAATATTTTGCGGACATGAAGTAAAATGTATAATTTTTAATTTTAATTTATATTCTTTCATTTTGAATTCACATACAATACGAAACATCAATAAAATTTCATCTGATTTTGAAGACACGAGTGTTTTTTTAACTATTATCTACTATTATATGTCAAAAAAGTATAAAAAAAATAAGTTAGTTACATTATAATTTTAAAAACAAATACTTGTAAACAGACTAACTAATTAAATGTGGTTCTGATTCTTTTAATTGGTCACGCTCATTTTATGGATATATCATAATGAGACGATATTACATCTTTTTCAAGTAAAAATTCTTAATTTTGCTTACGACTATTAAAGAGTTATTGAAAACTGTAATTTTCAAGTCATTAAATAATAATAAAATATAAAATATATTTTATTGTAAACTTATTCTATTTTTCTAAGTTTTATTGTATCGAGATGTATCTGTATCATGTTATATCCGTATTACGTATCTATATCATATCGTACCTGTATTGCGTATTCGTATCTGTGCTTCCTAGCTGAGGAGTATTGGTCATGTTATTTTTGTTTTGGAAATTGTGAAGTCTAAAAAGCATGAGAACCAATCCATCTTGAGAGTGAGGTGGGCCACTTGACTCTGATAACCTTGAAGTAGTTGGATGGGTTGAATCTAAATGTCTCAAGCCGTGAGACTCTTTTAATTTATAGCTAAGAAGGTTTGTGTTGTTGTATCAACAAAAAAGGGGAAGAACATCACTAAAAGTAAATTTTTTAGTCCCATGCACAATAAGAATATGAGGTGATTCAACGTGCTACATAGAGCGCACACAACCTATCACCATTGGGCATGTGCTTCTGTAATGGATCAACAAGAACGCCTGTCTAGGTGAGTCAGAGTTTGATCATTTCCAAAGTTTAATCTAACTTTGGTGTCATGAAGTACATAGATGCCTTACTATAATCTCTTGTTGGATGGTGACATTTGATATTTTGAAATACTCCAAAATCTCTGATATCAATAGTTTTTTTACATCTTTCTTAAAAAAAAAAATACTTATTAAGAAATGTGATTACCTACAGTGATGGACATTGATTCTGTTGGTACATTCACAATGTGCCATGAAGCACTTGTATATCTCAAGAAAGGAGGACCAGGAAGGAGCTCATCTACGGGCGGAACAATATTGAACATCAGTGCTACTTTGCATTATACAGCATCTTGGTATCAAATCCATGTATCTGCAGCCAAGGTTTGGAGTTTGTTGCTAGCTTTGGCAAAAATTCGACATGATTAAAAAAAATACTTAATAATAATGTTTATTTCACTTCAGGCAGCTGTTGATGCCATTACAAGAAATTTAGCTCTGGAGTGGGGTACTGACTACGACATCAGAGTCAATGGAATTGCACCAGGCCCCATAGGTGATACTGCTGGCATAAGTAAACTAGCACCTGAGGAGATAAATAGCAAAGCTAGAGAGTATATGCCTTTGTATAAACTCGGGGAAAAGTGGGATATTGCCATGGCTGCAGTCTATCTTGCATCAGATGCTGGTTGGTAACATTATACACTCTACATTTATTAGACGTGAACATTGCTATCTTTCATCCATTTTGCTGAATTCAATTTTTTTTTCAAAATATAGACCTCAGTGACTTGTCACCAAGTTGGCTAAACAAATCTACTTTCCCTTTCCTCTCGATTTTGGTTATAGTGAATGCTAAGTGATAGCCACTATATTCTTTTCCATCTACAACCTCCATCTTGGTCTTTTTTCTTTACTATTGTGCTTTCGGGCTTGGTGCACTATTTGTCATTCCATGCCTTTTCCTTAAAATCTCGGCCTATGGATTTCCAACCATTTCAATCCTTTTATCGTATATGCAGTCTGTATGTGCCCGAATGTTTGCATAACACCTTTGTTTTCCTTGTCTCATTTGGTCCATTCTAACGCCCTCATGTCTTGTATGCCAACATTCTGTCCCTCCAAAAAACCCCCGTTTCTTGTTTTTCAGATTCTATGGTTACTTTGGTTATCATGTATTGACAAAAAATTCAATTAAGCTTTATTTTAAGTTGCTGCTTCACTCAGCTGTTTGCGCACAATCATTTTTCGCCTCCATTGTCAAATAATGGAAAACTAAAACGATGAAAGATCATACTAAACTACATGGAGGGCACTTTCATTTACTCCCACACCCTACGTTCCCTACCTACACATTCTTTAGACTTTTACCACGCCTAGATTTTTGACACAATTTGAAGCAGTTTACATAGATGGGTTTATGGGATTCATAGTGTCATATTTTGCTTCTCTTCAGTGCATACAAAGGTTTTTATTTCACGACTGTTATAAGCAAGGGAAGCTGGGGAAGGGTGCGGTAACTGGTCTTAGCCTTTTTCGTGACTGCTATTTTATAATTCTTCTTAAATTTCAAGCATCAGCTTGCCTGAAAATGGAGAAAGGAAATTCAGATGGTTTTTTTTTTTCATCTTTTTCACATTTTTATTTTTTGAACTATTACTACTATCCTCTTAAGCTCTTTTACTCTTTTACAACAGCAAATATTAGATGCCATCAAATTACTCAACACTGGCTTAGTTATCATTTCCCTTCAACTTTCTTCAATGCACTTAACAAGTTATCTTTTTTTTTTTTGTTGGGTTATTCTAATCTCTTTAGTTTGCTCTTCATATTTTTATTTGAAGGCAAATACATCAATGGAACCACCCTTGTGGTTGACGGTGGACTGTGGTTGAGCCATCCTCGCCATCTACCAAAAGAGGCAGTGAAGCAGCTTTCTCGTGTGGTGGAAAGGAAGTCGAAAGCTGCACCAGTTGGGATTCCAACCAGCAAACTGTAATCTTGCTGAACACTAGTAGTGGTGGATAAATATATGGATCTAATAGCGTTCCACTTGGAATGGAGCTACAGCCAGGAATGCGTACTATCTTAAAAGAAAACTTGAATAGCGTTTGATGTGGAGGGAAGTAATTTTTAAGTGTCAAATTGATTGGCATGTGCAACTGTCATAATGTTTTAATCTTTCTTATTTGCTTTGTGGTGATTGATGAGGCCACATTTTACTGTGTCAAGCTCAATTAATTAAGTTGGCCTAAATTAGCTATAAGGCAAACCACGTCCAACTCATGGATTTGGTCCAATCTAAAGTTCAAGGAGTCCAAGAACATTAGCTCATGTGGGAGTAGTCATTTGGATAATCACTCTTCAAGATCAAGACTATCTCTAATTGTGTCTATTCTAGTAATAACTATCCTCTCTGAAAAATTAGTCACCTATCTTTTCACTTCACTATCTTAATTAAGGTTCTGTGTCTATAAATTATAAGTCTTCTCCACATGAGAGAGACATCTCTCTACACACTTTAAACAGCTATCTCTAATACATACCAAGAACATACTCTTGCTTTCTCTTTCTCTCACACTTATTATTTCATCAATAAAGACCATCAACCATTGTTGTCATCTTCAAAGTGGAGTAAGTCACCCTCACCGAACCACTCTATATTTGTATTGCTTGTGTGGATTTCACCTTTATATTTACTGTATTTATTATCTATATTAATTACTCGACAGGTGGTACATAAATCTATTTTTATACATCGTCAATTTGACACCATCTATGGAAAGCGATTTGATTATCTCCTTATAGTCTTTCTATTTTCAATGGCAAGAACAATCAAATCCATGAACCACCAAGCAAAAGATGACCCGTCACATCAAGGCAAGATCCTGCCACCACCAGCAAAAACTAGACACATGTAAAATTTATTTTTTCATTAATTTGGAGTTAAAAACTCAAATTTTGTGAGAAAAAAATATTTTTTTGGAGAAATTTGGTGCCTTGTAAGTTGTAGATCTCGAAAAAATACCCGAATTCAAAATTTTTTTTTGCCTCAAATGGACAACTGAGTACAAAGTTATGACCATTCGAAATTTCACCATTTCTTCATCATTGTCTAAAACTCAATCCAACATTTCATCGCCAGCGGCAATGGCGCCAACAACAGCAGCGAGTGTTAGTCCCTCTTGGCGTTGCCCACACCCTACTAGTGCCCTAAGCGCCAAGCGCCCAACACCTTGTTACTCCCCTACCAAAGGCATCGCCCTGGCATCCTCAAGATGGCGTCCCCAGGCTAGCTGCCAAGGGCATCACCTGCCTTGTGCCCTATTGCTCCTTTACCACAGGCGTCGCCCATTGCTCCCTGCACAAAGGCGTCGCCCCCATGCTAACTGCAAAAGGGCGTCACCTGCCTTGCGCCTTGCCTCCTCGTCTACGCAACCAATGCCCAACACATCGTCCAAGCTGCTTGGCTTCGCCTAGGCCATGGCTAGCGCCCAGTTGGAGTCGCCCAAACCACCATGGTGTCGCCCAACACCTCAACACCAGCAGCTACAATGTCTGGACCAACGCCTCTTACTCTATCGGCGTCACCCAGATAACCATTAGCGTCGCCTATTATTGCATCACCCAGCTTGCCAATGGCATTGGCTCTTGCTACAAGAGCGTCGCCCAGCTGGCCCACTGGCGCCAACTCTTGCTCCAAGGGCTTCGTCCACATCCTAGGCTCCCGCGCCTATAGTGCCTAGCGCCCCTAGCAGTAGCTTGGTGCCGTCTCTGTGCTTGCAAGGCATCGCCCAGCCTGGCGCCACTCTGCGCTTGTATGGCGCGGCCAACCTACCTCGTTTGACGCCCTCCTGCCTTGCCCTCGCCTAGCGCCTCCATCCCAGCATCGCCCAGGTGTCGCCTCCTGCTCCAAGGGCGTCTTCTATAGATTCCCTAAGTGATCCTCTCTAAGTAGAATTTGATTAATTATGGGTCATAGACATTTTTCCCAATGCTCGGCGCTCATACCCACCAATGTCTGGCCCCCGTGTTCAGTGGTGGTCGTGCCCAACGACGCCCGTGTCACAGCCTATGAGTTCTTTTTTTCATAGCAGAGATCTATCCACACCAAAGAAGCGAATTGCAATGGATCAAAGACCTCATTTTCCTTCCAATTAGTGAGATTCTATCTCTTATTAGGGAAATTGTGGTTGACCCCGAATACACCTTCCTTGGAATCGAGACTTTTCTGATATCCCACTAACTAACTTTCTCACGAGCTCTTTTTTCTAGGGAACTATAGGACTATGGGACTATGGGACATGAGGTCTGCTAGCACAGCCAAGGTGCCGTCATGCCTCCGTTGTCGCCTGTCCTGCTCGACGCCCACTCGCTAAGAATTGGCCCGGGACCTAGAGTCCTATTGAAACTTTATTCTGAGTATCAAAGGACTGTTGATAAACAACACATCTTGGCGAGCATATCTCATCTTACAATCTATGACCCAACGTCCTAATACGACTCTACCTTGAATGTCTAAGGGGGTAGGTGATCCATCCTATCACAACTTGGAATTCGAGTCCAAATGGAACACCGTTTCCTATACCGTTATAAATAAAGGTTTCAAGTACCAGGTATGTCATGAGATTCTAGCCTATTCACCATATACTTTTTCTTCGACTCGCTTACTGACTTAAGCATCAAAGTCTCTTTAGCTGCCTTCGGTCATCAGTTCACCTAGATTTTCTCTAGTCTTGCAGGTTTACCAAGACTTCTCTGCCATCATCTTTGTTCTATAAGATCTAACTCTTTAAAGATCTGGCCTCACATGGATTACAGTGTTGAACTAATTCTAATCCTTGAGCTAATTGGAATCCTTGAATTTGACCAGTGAAGGCCCAGCGGCACTCGTGCCTCAACGTCCAATAGTGCTCTCATGCAAGCACCCTAAATATCCAGATTCGCGCTCTCTCTCGAGTTGTCAAAAGCTTGGCTTAACTCTGCATCTGCTCTCAGGCAAACAATCTTAATCCCCAACTTAGCGCTTCTTTCACGAGTCACTAGAAAAGCTCGGTCTAACTCTGTCTCTGCTCTCACGTAGACAACTCAATCTCTAGCTTAGTGCCTCTCTCATGAGTCGCCACAAACTCAGCCTAACTCTGTCTCTACTCTCACGCAAACAGCCTATATCTCTAGCTTAGTGGCTCCCACAAGAGTTGCCAAAAATTCGACCTCACTTTGCCTATGTTCTCAAGCAAACTATGTCTCCAACTTAGCGGCTCTCACGAGATGCCTCTACTCTCACGTAGGTAACCTCAGTCTCCAGCTTAACAACTCTCTCACGAGTCACCAAAAACTTGGCCTAATTCTACTCTCACGCAGGTAACCTCAGTCTCCAGTTTAACGACTTTCTCACGAGTCACCAAAAACTTGGCCTAATTCTATCTCTCCTCTAAAGCAGCCTTGGCCTCCCAGAAGCTCAGCCCAACTCGACATGTGCTTACATGCAAACAGCAGAGTTCTCCAGAAGCTCAGCCTCGAGAGTTATTGCTCTCTCATGAGCCAACCTCGACTACAACCTGGTGCCCAGGTCTCTCTTCCGTCAAAGTTCTCGACACCTTGTCAAGTTTGAGCGTCCTCAAAAGTACGAAAAAGTCATAGCTATCTGCAAATATCCGAAAGTCAGAATGTCAGTATAACCAAGCATATAGAAGATAGGGTTCCACATAACCGAGGGGTACCATAGCAAAGCCCTCTATGTAGTATTGATGATACCCTCAAGACCCCGAGAACTGACCTCTCTAATTTCCAAGGGTGTCACAAACCTCCAAAGCATTTCCTTAGCCAAAATTCATATTCTGCAGCATAGACACCAAACCATTGCTAGAAATGGGATACTTATGTGAAGCGTTGGGGTGGGGCATCAAGTCCTGTCTTCCAAAAAATAGTAGGGTCGTCAAACCTCAGTTGGGAAGCACTGGGGGCATCAGATCTCACCCTTTCTAAGAGGAGAGGAAATCACCATCTTAGTGACGTAGAGAGCTTTCATCATTGATAACCACGACATCACCTGTGAAAGAGAGAATTTTCATAAACCAAAGACATCATCAATTTATCTGGGTCCTCCATGGTGTCGCCCGTGGCATCGCCCAACCTTGTGTCTTCCCTGGTGCTGCCTAGGTTCATATCTATGGCGCCACTTGTCAAAGCATCTCCATTTCCACACGTCGAAACGTCTATGCTTCTCTTCATCCTCTCTCCAACAACAACATTACCAAATATATAAATAAGCTTCAAAAATACAATGAAGTGGAAAGCTAAAAAAGCCACCGTATAGAACAAGATATTTGTTCTACTCAAAAAAAAGAGTTCACTAATGCCCTCAACCCCCAATCACTACTAGGACTTGGGGCATGGGAGGGCAAATGATAAACTCAGATATCACTGGGTCAGACCCAATTAATTAAATAAGCTCAAATTAGCTACAAGGCAAGCCAAGCTCAACACGTGGATTCAGCTCAGTTCAAAGTTCAAAGAGTCCAAGAAGATTAGCACACGTGGAGAGCAGCCATTGAGAAAACCACTCTCCAAGATTAAGACTATCTTTAATTATACATATTCTAGTTGTAACTATCCTCTCTGAAAAGCTAGTCACCTATCCCTACACGCCACCATCTCAACCAAATCGTTGTGCCTATAAATTATAAGTCTTCTCCACATAAAAGAGACATCTCTCTACACACCTTACACAACTATCTCTCATAGTTACCAAGAGCATACTCTTGCTCTTGCTCTCTCTCTTTCTTTCTCACCTACTACTTTATCAATAAAGACAACCGATCACTGTTGCCGTCTTTAAAGTGGAATAGGTCATCTTGACTGAACTATTCTATATCTGTGTTGCTTGTGTGGATCTCACCGTTATATTTACTACATTTATTATCTATATTAATTACTCGACATGTGGTACATAAATCCACTTTTATGTATCATCAGTAATAAATCAAATATGAAATGTTTTTCCCTCGTTTCTGGGACATGAATGGCCTCATTTTCACAATCCAAATTTTCATGGACATGAATGGCCTCATTTTCACAATCCAAATTTTCATGTTATCATATTGTCCTAGGACGACTATTGCCGAAGGCCATTCTGGATTGCAGACATTTCTTTGTCACAATGTAAGAACTCTAATAAAACCAAGGGCATATAAATGAGATGAGTCTAAAAGTTTACAAAGGTTAGAGATATCTAACAAAATTCAAGTGCATTAGAGGTCGACCTTTTGACCTCATGCAACAACAAAATTCATTGGTAGAGAAGATCAAGATGACAGAAACATTCAGAAAAATTCAGTACTCACCATTTCCATCACCGATACGCGGGGGAACCTCTTTTCCTTCTCTGTTCCAAGAATCATGTCAACCATATTTTTCAAGCCCCATCTATAGGTGGATTAGCTTCCCCTAAGACTTCTATTGGTTGAAAGACCATCCATCCATCTATGACCTTCAGCATTAGTAACCCCAAATAGAGCTCCCAGCAATCTGTCGTCAGCTTGTATCACAAAGCCATCTTCTTTCTGTCGGCTAAATGCCAACCAAAGCAACCATCGAACATAGAATCATATGAATGCCCCAAGAGTCTTAACATCTGTGTAGTGGTGCTGGATAGATGTCCAATGGTTGATAACGCAAGCGATCATTGTGAGGCAATGGTCCTTCCTGAAATAATTCAAGGTGAAAGTTGTCTCTCACACTATGCAACTGCAGTTCAACAGCAAAGCTAAATGAAAACTGCATGAAAAGATTCTGAAAAATATAAGTCTGCCAATTCTAATTTTGCAAAATATCATCAAGCTCCTGACATGTCATGAGATACATAAGATATAATCAGGTGATTTGCGAATGATAATGATCTCCTTGGAATTGGGAGATTATCTTTGGGATGTTACAAACAACATTTTCTGATTTTTTTTTAAATATTAGCAAGAACCTTAATTTTACTGTTCATTAATTCATCACACCGTGTGGTAGGGGGAAGGAAACACAATTAACACTGAAATAATGGGTAAGCAAAGTACCTCATTCAAGTTTATCTGGAAAGGCTTCACAAAATCTTCGAACATAACTGGGGACAGTTCTCGTATTTTCCCTTCAACTTCCTGTGAAGAGAAACAACGGAAAATGATTACAAAAAACATAATCAAATGTCCTGCTTTAAATTCTAATCAGTAAAATGCTGGCCAGAAAGATAACAAATCACTACTAACCAGGTAGGTGTATTGCCCAAACAATTGCAATATCAAGCAACACTAAATAGAGAAATATGACCCAGAGTACCAGAACAAACCAAAAAAATAGAACTGTGAACTAAACCAGGTTACCATTCAAAAATTAAAATAAAAAAATAAATCAGGTTCTTAATACTCCTACTACAGCAGCATATGTTTAAACAAACTGCAGTTGGATCTGGCTAAGCATTCCAATTTTTCCAACTTAAGATCCAATGCAAAATGCACAAAAATTTGTTTGGAAACCTTAATCGCTCTCTTTACTCCTTCACAGTGCACACAAGGTGTCAGGCTATAGTAATGATCATACAAGGTGGCAACACTTGGTTGCATTGGAAATGGTCATTCCATACCGATCTTTACAAGGTGCAAATTTACAAATTTCTTCATTTATATAAAGAGGACTTGCTCATTTCAAGTAGTTACTAACCAAAACTCGTTTCCGTTTTTCAACCTCTTCAACCATGTCCCATTCTCTCATGTCTGTCTCTATCTAGAATCTCCACATTCTTTTTTCGTCTTTTCAATTACCGAACAATATACAGATTTGTAATACATGTAATTTATTGGACTTATTTCCATGTATTAAATGATTTTTAATATTTATTACAACCACAATACCCCTTAAAGAACATAAACTATTTATTAATGCAAAAACCCTCCTTGGGAAAAATCGGGGGAACCACTCGAAGTTCACCAAACCTAATCCACTAACTCAAAATCAGTTTACAACTCCTCGAGACTTATACATCAACTAATACCATGGTTAGATTGAGGGTGATAGGGAAAATGAAAAATTGTGAAAGCACAAAGAAAAGGGGAGGTGTTCAAAAGGATTTATCTAGTCAAGGTTTACTTTTTTAATTATCCAATCTTGACACTTTTTTTGTAATACCTCAAAACAAAATAAAGGATACAAACAGAATATCTCTTATTACCAAGCCGGTTATTCTTGATTTTTCCAGTAGCTCCTTTGCAATCATATCTAGTATCTCTCTGTTAGCCATTAATCCATTCATGGCAAGTTCCTCTGTCTCTTCAATGTACTGTCATCAAAAATAAAACATCATTAAATTGCAATAAACAAGCACATGCAATATAAGAAGTTAAGAACCAAAGAAGTGACTTTTAGAATTGAACCTAACACTTGTATGCACACTTTCACAACTAGATCAGTTTACTATTTTCTTACCCATAAACCTGTATTGATCACTAAGTTCCCTTTTCATTATTAGTGATATCATTGACTCAGTTTCCATTTGGTAGCCAATGCAAATAATCTTTCCAGCCACACAATAATCTCAGACAAACATGAATAGTGTATAAAAATTATATATTCAATGTATGCACTTGTGTATACATGCATTTATATAATTCTGCATGATAAATAACGATTTTACAAGAAGAGAAAATGGAGTATACACCAGGCATGACGACGTTTAACTAGAAAAGATCTCTATAATTGTATAAGTAACAAATAAAAACCATTCAACCAAAATTTCTTCTATGGGTCAATAAATAATAAGGAAAAACTCTTTGTTCAAAATGATTTTATACAGATTGCCTTTGCCAACCAAGTTTGGAACTGAGACTTCTTTGAAACCTATGAAACACATATACTTCATTAAAATCGACATATCATATGGATACTAGTTGGATACTCAAGAATACGTATCGATATGCACTATATGTATCCAATAATAAATAAAATTTTTGGATACTCGCAAAAACGTATCCAAAGTAATTATACTTCATATGCAAGTGAATATGTAGAGCAATAGCAAAATTTTTTATTTTAATCTTTAACCTCTCCCCTCAAATGTACATACGATGAAACACATAGAAAACTTCATATAACTTTGAAGACATATGGGTTCTTCTTAAGTATTATCTACTATCAAAGAGCATAAAGCAAGTTTATTACAACATATCTCTGGGCAACAAGTACTTCTAAACAAACTAGCTAGTTAAATGTTGTCTTCAATGCCTTTAATTAGTCTAGTTCACTTTGTGGATATATCATAATGAGACAGTCTATACTTCCTTGGAAGAAAAAATTGCTAATTTTTCCCCTTACTCTTAAAAAATCTGCTGCAAAATATATGAAGACTCGTTAGGTAATAGAAACAATATAAAATATTTTTTATAGACTTATCATGGACATCTAAGTATCCTATTTTTTTTAGATTTAACCGTATTGTTGTATCCGTATCGGTGCTTCCTAGCTTGAAACATCCCCCCGGCCGAGGACCGGCCGTTTAAAACTTTAGGCAAGGGCCAGGAACCAAATGGTTGCATTTAAGTTTTGGAATTCAACATAAATTGATGACATAAGCAAAGAAGAATAGACTGCCAAAGCCACAAGTACAAATTGTTGCTCATGATGTCAGATTTCTATCATTGTCAGCAGCACAACTAGTTAATGTCCTTTCTAAGAAGCATACAAGTTCAAAACAGGGGCAAATTGTAATTACCCTCGTTAATTCTCGAGTAAATAGCTCAGAAACTTCAAGCGTCATATTGGCTGGAATCACATGAGGGTCGTCCCACTGATATCATCACCATGCAGAAGACCAAGAGAATTAGTCAATGAAGAATATCAAGTAACAGAACCTTATGCTAAGATATGCAGAAAGAATTTGGTTAGATAACTTGCTACAGTTAGCTTGAGAGGTTTCTTATGTCAAGGAGACACCTTATATTTTATGAGCTCTCCATCAGAACTATCTGGTCGATCAATCAGTCCAACTCTCTTTGTCAAAGCAGTAAGCCCCAACCTTGAATTGCTAGGGCTTATCACCATTTCCCGAGCAATCTGAGGGACAAATTTGATTCAGTCAAGAAACAGCCATTTGGAAACCAAACACATTAGCCACAACATGGTCATTTTGATACAATGGATGTGCACAATTCAATTGATACCCAGGTGTTTGACATAAACTTGAATGCTGCGAATATTATAAAAAATGTTGACATTATACATTGCAGTGATGATTTACATATGGTCCAATATTATAAAGGCAGTAATAAAAGTTGATACTTCTTGCCAAAGACATTATTAAAACATAACGTCTTCATTATAAAATTGGGATAGCAACACTGCTGTTTAGTTGATGGTGTTAATAAAGATTGTAGCCATGAAAACGAGTATCAATTTCCCTGAGACCAAAAAAGTCTTCTTAACTGACATGCCAAAATCTTAATTTTAGCGTTCCAAAGCAGAACATTTTCCCAACTAAGCGGAATGTCTTCCCCAACTTGGAGTTGGATATCTCACATATAAAATTGCATTACATGCATATGAAGCCCTGATAAAAGTAATTTGGAAATTGGCCAGCATCAAACAACTCCTGGAGCTGTTTCTTCGTCAATAGTTGAGCTGCAAGCAAACATGAAACAAAAAGTATGTCTGAATGCATAATGCATAAGCACATGGTGGCTTGTGGACTTGTTCTTAAACTTTATTCAGACTGATCCCACTGTATAAGCCGAACGGGTGTCGTCGATAGGAATAACTGATTCCAAGATGCAGAGTGGTAATAACATCCACTTCACCAATTCTGCATATGTCTCTTCTCTGTTTTTGTGACTATTTTCTATATCAACGGACAAAAAAGGGACAATAGTTTGTGATGGCTCGTCGCAAGCATGCGAAAATTATTTTTTCATGTTGCAACCAGGAATTGAAAAATGCATCAGGTACTCATCAACTTCAACTTATAAAATAAAGCAAAGCAAGCTTCACATGCAACAAAATATAGAGAGCATGTACTTACCTTTGTAATCTTTTCCAGATCATCCCATCCTCCATCAGTTATATCATCACCAAAGACAACTCGTTCAGCACAGCGTCCACCATGAGCTACCACCATTTGCATTTTCATGTAGCCAAAGGTTGTATAGCCCTGGTCTACCATGTCTTCTCTAGGGTAAAAAACAGATATTGCAGTTTCCTGCCCATGGAGGTAAGAGATAGAATCAGAGGATGCACTTCATCGCAGAAATTCATGATACAAGTATATCATTTTGTATGATCAGAAATTTACCTTGCCGCCAGGTAGAAGCTGAGAAAAGGCATGCCAATCGAATCGCGGAAATAAGTGTGCCAACACTACGTGACCAGCTTCATGTACTGCCAGCAGCCTTTTCTTTTCAAAAGATACCTGTTATGTATACACTTCAACGTAACAATTTACATCACATCATAGAGCAGCTGCAGTCTACAAAATAATGTCAAAGAAGCATACACTTTCTTCACATTTTTGTTGCTCTTCCGCTGTGAGAAGTACACCCATACCCTCAAGCAATTGTTTGTCCAACACGTCAGTGATGTCTTGCTGGTGGATCTTAGAATGTCCTTTCCTCACCTGCACATTTATAAAAATTCTGAAAACCTCTTCAACATTTGGAAGCCCATCGCCATTCACCAAAAGCACGAATAAGCATCATGGGCTACTCGTGTGTGCAGAAGTACCGAGCACAAAACACAAATCCGACTGAGCATGCAAATGCAAGGAAAGAGGTCAAAGTGCAAAGTGAAAGGGAAAACAGAAAAACTGGCAAAAATGTCTTTACTAGGTTCACTTCTAGGTTGTCACCTTTGTTGGATGTTTTATGATTTCGTTTTTTCATATAGCACAATAGATTGGCCAGTGGGCTACCCGACAGTTATGCATGGAAAAATAAACCCATTGTTAGTAAATAGTAACCATTGGCATGTATTCTTTGTTATGGATATCAATGGCCAAACATCACCCAAAATTGCAATCTCCAGGGGATTCTACATTTCGTATGAAGCATTGCACTTCACAACAATTACTTTACAATGTGTAACTAATTAGAATTAGAATTATATGCACAAGGTTTGTTTAACAATTACAGTTTTATGAAGATATATCATTTCAAAGTTCCATTAATATTCCAGAGATATTTAGTCATGTATGTGAAAACCTAAAATCTTGATATTATGCTTTACTGTTAGCTATGCTTTCCTGTTGCCATTCGTACAGAGAGTTAGCACATAAAAACTACAAAGTATTAATACTCAAGGACAAGACAACATCCAAGCAATTAGGTCTTTATCGGATTTATACAGGGACGCAATGCGTTCCTCGTCCAAAAAGCATTATAACAAGAAATTTATCAAAATTGCAATTGGTCAAATTAGATGCATACCAGAAACATCATTTCAACATGAACTTGTAAAACACTAACAAACAAACAAAAAGTGTGTTCTGTCTTCATATTTCCTTAGAAACAAAGCTGTCACAAAATGGTGACACTCATTAATAGTTGAGATCTAGACACAGATAGGACATTAACTCCAAAGAGTTAGCTTTTTGTGAATTACAATATAAAGAACTTACAGACATTATTCCTGCTTCATTGACGAGATTCCTTATGTCCGCCCCAGAGTAGCCAACAGTGCGAAAGACAAGCTGAAGAAAGTGGAGAAAATAAACATAAGATTTTCATTCTCAAGCTGAACTTTAGATCTGAAGCTGGAGTCTAAGCAACCTCATATAAAACCTACTTCCTTCCTACTCCAATATATGTTTACTCCTCCATTTTGTCAGTTATGAAGCAGAGACAAGAATCAAAATTTCATTTCGTTTATACCAAAACGACAGAAACGTTTTGGTTTCGGTGGAAACAAAACGAATCAATGATCAAATAGCAAAATTCGTATGTTTCAAAGTGTTCAAGAATGTTTTGGAATATTTTGATCAATGTTTCAGCAACCAAGTCCTAAATTTTTTCTCCATTTTCATTTTGTTTTCCAGAAACGTTTCTGGAAAAATTTCAAAACGTTTGTATTTCCAAGGAAACCAAAACTATGCACCAAAATAAAATTTTTGCCATGTTTGTTTTTTTAGTCATAGACACAACCTAAGAAGTGTCAACTTTGTCCCAAAAAAGTGTTGGAAACGTGTATAAAAGGACCAAAATTAAGCTTTTTATTTCTTAATAATGGATACGGCCAAAAAAGTATCAGACATGTGGCCAAGAGTGTCCACGACGTATCAATGCTCGATAAATGTTTGTATTGCACAAGTCATCTTCTCAAAAGTGTCCATTCTTCTCAGTTTCCCGACATTGGCAGAGAATTCTGTACCATAGCAGTTTCAGTCACTCAATTTTTGACACTTTCATCTTTCACAGCCAGGTTAACCAACACCTTTCCAGTAATAGATGATAATACTGAAAGAAGAACCTACCTATCCCACCTCTGCATGTAAAATTAGAATTGGCACAAAGAAAAATGACTTCACAGTAATGATGAAATTACAACTATTTAAGCACCACTTATAACATTTTACTAAAAGATTTTTCTTAATCAGAGATAATGTTTTGGATATAGATCTCCCAAAATTGAACAAACATTCTTAGTCTTAAGTGCAGAGGATTTAAAGAACAAGCAAATACAGGACACCAATTAAATGGTCACCTGATTTAGAAAGCCAAGGAAGAAGGCAACCAACTAATACACTTGGCAGTCAACAAATTTGACATACTAATAACCACCCTTTTCTTGAAAGAAAAAAAATTTATCACGCTCTCCTATCAAATATAAGAAAAGGGACCACTGGCCCTTAGTCAATGCCTAAGGTGACTATGGGAGTCTACACCCCTGTATTTTCCCTCTGAAATAGAACAATGGAATCATTAAGTTCTAATTACCAACCAAAATAGGAATAGAAAATGAGACAAATACCTGTGACAAAAAATGATTATTCCAAAACAAGGATCACAACCACTAACCTGTTCAAAATCAACATCTTCGGCAAGCTGCTTTCCTGCACTATGTACACCAAAAATTTGCACCCGTTGCTTCGCATCAGGTAAGCCAATGTACAGACGACGATCAATATGTCCAGCGCGAACAAATTCTCGATCCAATTCATCTGGCCTATTAGTAGCGCAGATGAATATCACAGCTTGCCTAAGTGAAAATCGGTCAACACCAGTTTTTTCCTTCCTTCACAAAACAAAGACATAAAAATCAGTTATCGCTTATGAGACAATGAAAATACCAAACAAAACAGACAAGCTCTGATTCAAATGCCCAAGAAGTAATTAACTTCTAACCAAAAAAACTCTCGCAGCCCCCATTTTTGAAAATGCACTAAATGAAACCCCATAAAACAGAAGGTAGGGTTACAATATGGTGTACAAAATATACATATATAATAAAGTACAAGGCATTTCAAATTCCAAAAGACATAAAAAATGACTTTTGCTTTTCATGGTTCAGATTGTTTTAAATCTACTCTTCAAATTTTGAAATTTTGATCGGCAGGTTGAAATCTACTCTTCAAATTTTGTTTTCCCGCCTAAATTACTTCTAATATTTCCTTAAACATAACCCCCAATTATTGCCCATTCACCCCCAATTACTGCCCCATTCACACCCTCTCTCTCTGCCTATAACCCCCAATTACCGCCCCAGTCTCCCCTCTCTCTTATTGGTAATGCCACACACACAGAAAAACCCTAATCAACCTTCTCTCTCTCTCTCTCTCTCTCTGTGCATTTTTTTGTGTTTCTACGTGTGTGTGTGTGTGTGTGTGTGTGTGTGTGTGCATTGTGAGTGTGCCTTTTTCATTTTTCTGTGTGTGCATTGTTTGTGTTTATGTGTTCTGTATGTTTGGTCTATGCATTGTGTGTGTGTATTGTGTGTGCTGCGTGTGCATGTGTGTGTGTACGTGTGTATCCATCTTTTTGTGTGTGTGTGTGTACGTGTGTATCCATCCACAGACATATAAAAAGATGATAGATAGATTTAAAGAAATCACGTACAGTATTTGATGTCTCCTATGTAGCTATGTCATTTTTTTTAACTGTATGACTAATTTAGCTTGGCATGCAATTGCCAAGCCACAAGCAAATAACATTCGGGTTATCAATTGGCTAACCAATATTATCAAAGGTTTCAGCTATAAAATCTGAAAAGGGAAATATCATGGAAAATATGAAGATGATTCAATGTGGGAATATAGTCATTGTAATATGATGTTATTTTTAATTAATTTATTGTCAAGATTGGTTAGGGAATGAATTTGTCTGTCAATGATATTTATAAATAAAAGTATTGAAAGTATTATTTTGAGAAGTCTTGATGTAATTTTTTAGAAGAATAGAGAAAAATTATTTTAGAATAAATTATTGTTGTTACATGTTGCCTTCAGAGCAATCTCAAGTTTTATTCTATGCTATATACCCTTGACATAGAGTCAAAACTGTTGATATCCTTTTGTTTCCCTGGATATGTCACATTATACTCCGAGCAAACAACACGAGTAAAATGTTTAAGCACCATTACAGGACATGTGTTACACGTTTAGCTGCTGAGCAATTCCCAAGACACCACTAGGCAATTTGCCACTACATTATTGGATCATATATCATCTTCAATTCTCTCCTATTTTTGGGTTTTCAAGCATTTCCTAGATAGAATTTTGAATGGATAATACCTTCAGAAATTCCATGTATATAGGATCATCCTATCTTCTTACAATGCACTAATTGAGCAAAACTTTGACAAATTGCACCTCAAGATTCTCAACTACATCCTTCAGAAAAGGACCTCAAAGGGGACAAGACAAAACCACGGGATCCAATGTCCTGAATGTTAACATGAGGCGGGACCTCTTATAAATTATAATCTCAAACTTCTAGCAAAAAGTCACTACATTAAAACGGAGCCTGTGCAAATGGTAAAACAAATTCTCATTTCATCTAAACAGCCATGCTGGCATGTGAACCACACTGTAAAGCATAATTCCCAAGCGCTATGATGGGCACACAACATGCACACACAGCAGGCAAAAGTAAGATACTAACTCTCCATCAAGCTGTGCAATCAGAGCCTCAAAAGTTGCTCTTCTTCGTGGATCCTTTCTTGCATGTCTTCCAGCAATAGCATCAATCTCATCCACAAATACAAAAGCAGGAGCCTGCACAGAGGACATGCTGTAGTATTCTGTTTGTTCGTAAAGTAAGCACACAAGTAAATCAACATAAATTCAACTTATTTGCAGACCCATGAAGGCCCTCACACTAACTTTATCAGCATCAGAGTAACTGGAACACATGATTACAAAAAAGATGACAGGGAGTTCCAAGACATCTAAGTTGCTGTTTAGTTTGGCCGATCACTACATCTATGAGATAACAAGAGTCAAAATTTTGTTTCTCATCAGATGAAATGAGTGAAACCTTTTGTTTTTCAATGGAGACCTGAAAGGAACAGTAATTGAAAATAAAAATTTCCACGTTTTGGAATTTTTTGAGATGAGCAAGCCGAAACTATACACCAAAACGAAATTTGATCATTGGCTGATAAAGTTTGCAATTCTGGGGTCTGGTCGACAGAACTAAGGACAGAGCAGAATTATGGTTCTACACCTCCATAAATAAAGGTTGACAGTAGCATATCCAACTTTATACAGTAATTTGAACTGATCAGTGGTTAATTTTGATTTTTGAGATTTGGTTGTCGTCTTTGATGTCCTTTCAATATATGCAATTCTTAAGAGGCAGTAGAAAGCTAAATCTAAAAAAGAAACAAATATAGAACTAAACACGATTTTGAGGAAGATCCCACCTGGGAACTTGCATGATTAAGGTTTGGGTATCGGGTGTAATGAAGTTCTATTTACATTCAAGGATTTGATTGTTTTTTTTTTATTTTTTTCAAGTCGAAGATATAGTTTCTCATAATGACTCATATGTTTTACCTTGTCAGTTTATGAGTTATTAAAGTCTTTATGCATGCTCCCTGGTATTCACAAAACAAGTTTTATATCTTAAAGTTTGAAGTATTCAATTTATCCTCAGCACTCTATCAATGCATATGTATTCTGTTAAGTGAGATCAAGCTTAGAGAAATTTTAGATGCCTTTGAAGCTCTTTTGGATTATATGATGAAATGTTTCCCAGGTGTGCTGCTTAACTTCTTACCAATTACCAAAGTTTCCATTTGATCTCCAACCTACTAGAATCCCCTTTAAAACCTGAACTATTACGTACCCTACAACAATTTACTGTAGCATCCAAAATCCCCTAATCAGTTGCAGTTCCAGAAGCTCCAGCAACCTTTTTCCTATATTTCCCGCACTTAGAAAACAAGCCCAATCCATTTTCTCCACCACCAATCATTCAACCCGAACACCCTAACATCCCCATAAGATACTCCATTACAATTTACAAATTAAAAGAAGTAGGGCTTACATTTCTCCTTGCAATAGAAAACATTTCATTAATTCTTGCAGCACCACTTTTTTCACTGTCTGTAAACTCTGCACCCGAAGCAAAAACAAAAGGCATCCCACTTTCCTTCGCAAGTGTTCGTGCGAAAAGTGTTTTGCCCGTTCCTGGGGGTCCAGACAGAAGAACACCCTGACATGCACACAATAAAACAGTAATAAGAGCTCTTTACCATTCCAAGCACGGTTCCAACTTCCAACATAATAGTTTCATTATTTTATCTAGAAAGTAATGGAAGATTACCCGCACAAACTGCACTTCTTTCTCATAATATTGCATGGGGTTTCCCATGTAAATCATTAACTCATCTAGAAGATCCCAGACATCACCTCCTAATACTACTTCTTTGTACATGGATTTTGTTTCACCAACTTCTCCAACTGGCTGAAAGTGTAGTGAAAATAATGAGATCGCAAGTAAACTTAACACTCAACTCAATTCAATACAGCCATATGCCCAACTATTTGGGGTTGGGTATATGAATCCTATTTTCCATTGTGCTATCATAATTAAAGTAATTGCTGACTAAATAGATCCAGTCAGAACCCAACAAACAGTTACCAGGAGAAAGTTTTCAGCATAAGCCATATCAAGAAGTTGATTATGCTTCTTATAGAGTAAACGATTCGTTGTAATGTGTAGAAGCATCAGAGATTCCCTAATAAACCACAAAATCAATATTCCTGGCAGTAATGCAATTACAACTTTCAGAAAGTAATGGAACTGCTGCTTCTGAAGGAGATCTACTTCAACTCCAGAATTTGTGATAGTCTCGAACAAGTAAGGATCAAGCGGAATGTCAACCTATAAAGGTTAAGCAGATTGGGTTAAAGGAGAAATGATGTTCCCTTACGGCACAAACAATACTGAGATATCAGACTTACAACATACTCTAAGGGGAACCCTTCTTTCATTGTTACATACAATCTTTTCAGGTCCTCTGTAAAGACAACAGCAGCAACCTGCCCAAAAAACCATGGCATCAGAAACTGCCCGCAAGCCTTCTGCACTCTAGGAAATAACAAATTAAGGCTGAATGCTACATGAAAATGGACAAAAACCATTTTTCTCGGCCCCGCAGGAAATAGATCTCTTTTGCCATTCACAGCACTTGAAATTAATCTGATTTCTAACACTGAAATCACAATTTCAGCAATTCAAAAGACTTTATTCTGAATTTGACCATCTATGAGCAACAGCTCCCTCTCTTAGGTGTGATGACTGTTATTTTTGGGCCATGACACAAGTCCTTCAAATTCTACGAGATAAGAATACAACAAAATATATCTCTAGATTCCGGAGCACCTTCACAAGCATTTTGGACTGTACAAATTGTTATGTTCTCTACCGGCACTCATCTGCATATAGACCTATGTATACCCAGCCAGGCCATAAACTGAATTAGCAAGTTAGAACAGCAACAAGTCACTAAATACCCACGCTATGGGGTGACAGAAAACATAGAAGGAAGAATGAAACAAGATAATTACCTCAGAGCTATCAAGTTTTTGAAGAAAATAGGTGTAAGGAAGCTTTGGACGGTATCGCCACCATCGCTTTGAAATCCACAATGCCCTGGTTCCCTGTGTGTCAGTGACCTTCTCTACCACATCTTTGCGAAGACTATTCTCAACCTCTTTCATGTCAAATTCAACGACATACTTAGCATTTAATGAATCTAATTGCTCCACTATGTTCTCCTTTCTGAGAATTTCTTTCCATGTCTTAAGTCTTTCACGCCATGTTCCCTTACTTTCACGATCTGCAACTACCAAAGTAACATGGTAAGAAAGATTGTAACAAACAAAAACAACAAACATGTGAAAGGAAACATACAAACGGCTGCACATTAACATGCATCATCTCTATACATTTGCACCTAGCACAGCAAAACGGCTCAGGTAAAGTATAAAAAGTTGTATCTAATGATATGTACATAATCTGAGAGAAGTAAATATAGCAGGAGTCCAAAATTCATTCGAGATTCAAAAAGAAACAAAAAAATTCAACATTATCACTCCCACAGAACTTTTTCTCTTCATTTTCTTCTATCAAATAACAAATAAATTAATGACAACAATAATTTTGTGGTCAGCGCTGTTAGAATAGTTATTATATTTAGACTTAGGGGTAGTTTAGTCATTTGTTTTCTTTTATGTTGTCCTAACTTAGTTTACTATATAAAGACCTCTTATATGTAGTTTTCCTTTAAGCTTTGTTCTGGTTAATTGTGCTTCAATAATATTCTCTTTTTTCTTCCTCTTACTTTTTTTAATTGATCAAAGTTAACATGGTATCAGAGCATGGTTTCAATCCAAAATATATATTGTAGCACTACAGTAATTTAGTTGGAGAAAGAATATATTCTTGGGTTGTGTGATTTGAGGGCTAGTGATTGGTGGATTGCTATTTTTTTTGTGATTCCATAGACTGTGAACAGTGCCAAAAATACTGTTCACCAGATGAATAGTCCGACATACTGTTCACGCGAGTGAACAGTGCCGACGTTACTATTCATGCTGTGAACAGTACCGAATTTCGATTTTTAGTGCCTTCTTGTTATTTTGCTACTGTTTTGTTGCCTCTATTTGTCTTCTGGACTTTTGAAAGTTATGAAATTTGAGTTTTCTAGTTGTTGGATTGTTGGTTTGATTTATTGGCTCGAGATGCTTGTATTAAGGCCTATTGAGCGTCTGCTTCTTCGTTGGTACGTTGGGATCTGCTGTTTAAATTGCTATTTTTGTTTACTTGTTGCTGCCTCTTCTTTTTTGCTGGTGTTTCTCTTTCTTCTGCTTCTTCTAGTTGCTAGTCTGGTTGTTTCTTCTTCGTTTGCTGTTGTTGCTTTGGGCTTTTGGACTGGTTTGTTGATTGGTTGTGTATTGGTGGGTTGTCACGTTGCTAATTTTTGATTTGTTCGTTTGGGCTTGCTATTTGACATAGTGTTGCATTGTTTCGCACTAAATAAGCTGAAAACTTTTGTTTTCATTTGCATTATTTCGCATTGAATAAGCAGGAAACTTTTGCTTCCACTTTTGATTGGTGAGTTTGAGCCTTTGGGGCTGATCTTGTGAACGAACTGCTGGGTGAATATTTGATTTGTAAAATTGTTAAGTTGATTTGTGGCAAATTTTGAATTGTTTGGCGTTGGCTACTTCTTTTGGTTCTAGTTTCTGATTTTGACTACTACTGGTTTGAGACTAGTTCTGGTTTGTTTTTTTTTTTTTTTTTGTTGAGATTTGTTTTGTTGAACATTGTGGCCGATGGTTTTTGTTGAGTTTTGGTTTTATGTTAGACCTCTCATTGCTATTTGATCGTCTCTGGAACTTTGTGCTTACTCTGATGTGGACTGAGCTGGTGACTCTATAGATTGCAAGTCCACTACTGGTTTCTGTCTCTTCATTGGTGATTGACTTATTTCGTGGAAAAGTAAGAAACAAACTGTTGTAGCTTGATCATCTGCTAAAGCTGAGTATCATGCTATGACCTCCATAACAGCAGAGATAGTTTGATTGTATTGGCTACTTGCTGATCGTTTTTTTACGAAATCTCACACCATTGCACGCTTCCATTTTCTTCTTAGCAAACTCTTAATGTTTGATGTTACCACATTATGAGTTTGAGGGAGGGTGTTAGAATAGTTATTATATTTACACTTAGGGGTAGTTTAGTCATTTGTTTTCTTTTATGTTGTCCTAGCTTAGTTTACTATATAAAGACCTCTTATATATAGTTTCCTTTAAGTTTTGTTTTAACTAATTGTGCTTCAATAATATTCTCTTCTTTCTTTCTCTTACTTTTCTTTGATTGATCAAAGTTAACAAGCGCCTATCGTAATCCACCAGAATATCGACATGAATAAGAGAGCTCCTTAGAAACAACTTGATTTCCTATGCACAATGTTATCTGAGAAGAAAGTACAGCACTGAATGAAAACATTCCAATGTAGTTCAGAAGTAAAAAAAAAACCCATTGCAACCCCATCTTTATCATAAGTGCAAATGCATAGTGCCATTATAAAGCCATGCATGCACACATCCACACGCAAACTAACCTGAAATTCCCAAATTATCTTTAAGCACCTGCTTTTCTTTTGTGTTCAAAGTTGCATCTTGGTCAATAATTTGTTTTACATTTTCTTGAGGAGGTTCAGTATCGTCATCCCATGCATCTTCCCCAACATAAGAACTATCATGAACAAGTGTTCCATCAGGTCCTTCGATGAATTTCTTCAGCTTTAGACCCTTGGGGGTTGTTTTCCTCCACATACTTTTCTTATACCTACAGGGAAGCAAGAAAATAAGCACTATTTAAATATCTAAAACCATTTCAAGCACCTAATTTCACCATGCACAAAGGAGTTTTTGGGCATACAAATTTAGGAAAAATCACACAAGGGTTTTTGGGCATACAGGGTTTTTCAATTTCAATTATTTCGGTAAATTTTTGGAATTGACATCAAGTTCTTGGGTTATTATTTGAGTAAATTCTTCGTGTGATTAGATTTATGGAATCAGATTTTGAATAGGGATTTGGTTATTTTAAAAAATTGTTTCATTATTAGTTGTTATGTGGATGCCAACGAGACGAGAGTACACTTTGTGATTGGTTAATTGGGGTTTCCCCAATCTGAATTTCTACATAAATCAATTGCATTTCTCTTGCAGGTATGAAGTTCACTCTGGTGCTTCTACAATTCTGCTATCCCTTGTGACCAGACAGTTGAGGCAGCAGAGGAATGAAGCTTGAGTAGTAGTATAACCCTGGGTAATGGTTCTTTTTCTGTGTGATAGGATATCCGTTTCCACATACCAGTACCGACTACCGAACATTTTGACTATTTTAATATGCTGGCTCCAAATTTATCTTTTGAGTTTATTCTGTTCATTTTTGTACCTAGACGACCACAAACTCTTTCTTTGTCCATTTTGAACTCGGTTTTATTGTTCAATGGATTGTTTTTGCTTTATCTGCTAGGTGCTATGCATACGTTGCACTTTGTATTCCCGTTGATGACTATGTCAAAGTTTTACACGAATTTTTTATAATTGTTTGGTGATGGTCCAAGAGAGAATTATGATATTCTCTTAGTTTGAATTTTTAGTCATAGTTATTGATTTGGGATTTCCAATTACTTTTTGATGTGTATCTCTATATAGGTGTTTATGGATGTGTATGAGTTGTGATATGTGGTTTTGACTTTTGACATTAAATTTGAATTTAAAAGGTGTTTGAATTCATTTACTTTATCTAGGTTTAGGGTTTTATCTGTTTTATTCCTCTACAATGAATCTTAGGCTTCTGAGTTTTTAGAGATTGAATTAAGTGAAAGATGATAAACAATGTGATGCAAAAATGGGATGCTATGGTTGGTGATTTATTGCCTTTTGGGGTTGACATTACCTTTTTTCTGGACCGCTACTAGCTCCCCACCATAGCCCCCCTTCTTGTACAGTAAACTCAGATTGTTGCAATGGAATTAATTATTGAATAGCTTATAGGTTTGAACAACAGAAGTACTGATAATAGTGAATAGCTTACATAAAACAAATACTAATTCACTCATGGTAATGATATTTGTAAACCAGAAGACATTTCTCCCTAAAAAGAGTGCTCTGTGTTGAAGGTCAGCGTTCTACTTTAAGCTTATGTAGCCAATTCATGGCCTTCTTCTCTGCTTTATTATGTTTTATTTTTTTCTTTAGTTTTTTCACTTCTTTTTCTTTGTGAATTTAACATTTTTGTGCAAAATTCAACTCAAAGAAATATCAATTACATGGACTTAGTTGTTTTCCTCTTTCTAGCAATGCTATACTTTGCCTTTTTGACTTGATTTTAATTGAAACAGTCCACAAGCGGCAAATTTTATTACTACATTTTAGTTGTTTGACAACTTTACTTCCAAATCTGGGTGTAGTTTCCTTTGATACTGATGCCACAATGTTTTTGCTAATCTGCCAAGTTTATTAAAGCGTAAAACTGGGTTTTGGGTTAGGCCTTGAGCTTCTTTGAAAGTCGGCCCACAGTAAATAATCCTTTTTAGGTGGAAATGTTTTATACTGAATTATTTTTTTTCTTGGTGGGTAGTGCAACTTTACTTAAAGAAAAATCACATAACTTGCACTCCATCTTTGTGTTAAAGTACCACCATGTTGTTAGGTTTCATAGAGTTTGAATAATTAACCTCTTTTTTATTTTTATGCGATTTGGGTTATTTGTGATTTTTTTTTTTACATATTGCCTTCGGGCACGACAATTTCTTGTGCTTTTATATGGGTTTTATTTGACAACTTTCCAAATAACTTCTCACTCTTTGTCCGTTTCCCACACTTCACCAAAACCTACATGTCCTCACTCTTTATAAACTTAATACTTCTAGTACTAACACCGAATTTAGTCATCATTAAGGGGGTTTGTAAGGGAGAGATTAGGTAAAGATCTAACCTAGTTTAACTGCTGTAAGATTTAATAGTTGAGACACTAATCAGATTCCTGAATCAACAGAGAAATGCTATCCGAGTATCACTTCCATACAACTTTTTGGATTCAAACATAACACAATACCGAACTGAAAATGCTTTGTGGCAATAGATAAAGCCTACAAGCATTTCACCAAATTCTTTAATCGTCATAGAATTATCAATTGTACGCATATGTTAGTGGGTCTATATGTATGCATACAACCCAAATGATTGACCACTGAACCAAATACAGAATTTCTTCCAAATAAACACAATTTTTTTACTTGATGTGAAACAAAAATTAAGAACAAAATTAGAACACCACCTAATGAAATAAAAAACACACTTACTTTCTAACGTTGGTGGGAGTTGGTTCCGGGATCAATGCCTCCATATATTCCTCCGTTATTTCTTTCCTTTCACGATCAATGAGAGGTGCTCGAAACGCCATATACACTCTTTGACAAGAGAACACCACCACAAACACATACAGTATCAAGGCACCAACTCTTTTGGGTTCCCAATTCTTGACATCCTGAGGACAACAAACAATATTGTGTAAATAAGGTTCTCCCACTATATTAACACGCCATCTAGTAGTTTAGTTGAATTGTGGAATTCCAAGTGAGTGTATACGAATATAGGTGTGTGAAGCATCCAAAATAATTCTCACCGAATTTCACTCGGAAAAAAAAAAAAACAAAGCCATTTGTTCCCACTTGACATATAAACAGACAGTAAATAATGAGGAATCAAGATGGTTGGAAAAGGCTAATTCATTTGAAAAATATAGCTTTTCACCTTCCAACGGTCCCATGTATTCCAGTTGATGAACTCGGGAAGCAACTCAGACTTGAACCGGCCAAACTCAGTCTGGCATTTCTTGGCCGAGTCTCGGGCCCGACCCACGAGCTCAGCCAGTCTCACATTAGCCTCTTCAAAATCAAACCCTGTTTCTTTCTTCACAGACTCACTTAGCTTATCCAAGAACCGTCCCGAACCACGGCGAATCGACTGGGACAGATGCAGCCACGAGAACCCGTCTGACCCACTAGGATTTGCAGATGCAGAAGCTCGAAAAATGGCCCTTTTTTGGCGGGAAAGCTTTGTCCTGTGATTTGCAGGAGGTGGTTGTGAGAGTGGCTTGAGAACAAGTAAATTTGGATGGGCTTGGTTGAGTATCATTGCTGTTCTTGAAGAGAAGTAGAATGGGGTTTGCCTGTATTGGATTCTTAGGTCCATTATTGAGTGCGAATTTGGGTAATTTTAGAAAGAAGATGATGAAAGATTTTCTCACCCAGCTGCAGTTTCAGAAGCCATGGTCTGGCATGTCTTCCATCTGGGACTGCCTCTCCTCCGAGGGGATTTATAGGTTTTATATTTATGTTTTTTTTATCATTTTTGTTTAAAAAATCTATATAAATAGAATTGAGTTTAAATTTTAAAAATAAAAAGAGATTCAGATCGTTTTGAAACAAAACATAAACATATCCAATAGACAATGTAATTCTAATATAAAAAATGATTCAGATCATCTTATAAATACGAATCCGACGCTCTATAGTGAATACTAAATTTTATTTTTCTGCCCAACAACATTTTCTAACTCACTTCTCTCTCCCAATCTCTTACATCTCTATCTCTGCCTTCCAAACTCATCTCAAAAATCTCTCTCGTAGAATCCATCTCAATTTCACTTCTGCCTCTCTCTTTTTTTATTCAATTTTTTCTCTCTCTATAGTTGATCTTCTTTCTCTCTCTGTTTCTTTGTTTCTCTCTACCCAACCCATAAACCCTCTTAAAAAACCCAACCTAAAAACCCCATTTCCTTTCCCATTTCTCTGTATGAACAGCAAAAAAACAAAAATTCAAAATAATCACTGCACCACATCTTCCCCTATATATCTCAGGGTTCCCAATCTCCGTCTCCCTCATTGCAGTGCCTATGCCACATAGCCCAGCCCCAGCAAGTCAGAAGCCTCACCAACTACCACAAATCCATCGACCACCACTAGCAACAGCAATGACAGTGAAATTAGCGATCGCCACTGCCGCCAACGACCGCCAACAACTGTCACGCTAGTGACACCCCCAGTTAATTATTTCTTGCTTACTATTTATTCATCTCCTTGCTTGTCTATCTCACACTCACCTCTACACCCAATCATATCCACAACCTTTTTCCCCCTCTTCTTCTTTCCCATAGCCCCAAACTCCACATAACCCTAATCTATCAACAATTGACATAGCACCTCACTGCCACCTTACACAAAATTGACACCAACATAGATCTGTAGCACACAAAATGCACACTCACACGCATAGACAATCATAATATACAAATTTTGACATTAATTTATGTTCAATTTTTAGTGATTGGTTGAAACTTTAAATGGATTTCTATCAAGTTTAATTTGAGGGTTTTTGTTGTATATCCAGTGCCTTTAGGTTTGCACACACAAAAAGCCAATGAGTGTAAGATAGCTCAGTGGCTATGTAAGTTCTTCGAATTTTTTAATTTTCAGCTCTATTTTTTTGCAATTTTGATTTATTAATTCTGTTTGTGATCAAAGAGTAACCAAGTGAAGGGACTAGATCATTATATTCAATTGCTTTAGTTTAGTATAATTGTTAGCATAACACGTGTTTAATGACTATCTTTTCATGAAGTTTTGCAAGTCTTCACAATAGTGTTTATGTTGCTTCTGCATTTTACTTACTAAATATTCACTCTTATTGTACTTTATTGTCCCTTTCAGGAATGTATTAGTAAGACAATTATTTACTTATTTCTGTTTATTGAAGAGTATGACCAGACCAACGGCCAGTTAACGACCTTTTCTTCCCCAACTTCGTCCTCAACCAGCTAGCAATGACATATGAGAGGTAACCTCATGGGAAATATAAAAGTCAACTCTAGGATATATTTTTAGCTTTAGTTTAGGATGCATTTTCAACTTTTATGTATGATATAAATTTTGTTTGCTTTAGAATATTTCTTCAACTTTAAGACTGAAATGAAACATGAATGTCAAATATGTGCATTTAGTGTATGACTACTTTGAAGGGGGGATTGAACAACGATGAATGTAATTACTTGCTGATTTTCTTAGCCATGAATTGGTTCCTTTTTGAATATTTGGTAAGTGCTGCATTTTGGAATCATACTCTTTTTCTTTGACTTAAAATAATGTTGACTTTTTAATGGATGAAATTTCCAAGATCATCAATTGCAAATGTACATTGTTTGATAGAGTAGTATTCTATTCCCATATATATTTTTCAGCTATAAACTTTGTTTTACTATTACGGCTTTAACATTGTTTTGTTTTCACAATGCTTATGGTATTTTTTTCCTCTATAGTTGAACAATATATTTGATATTATTAACAGATATTTTTTTAATTATATATTATTTATTGGCCGAAAAAATTGACAATTAAATTTTAAGTTGATTTGATTTTTTTTTCAGGAAACTTTTGCCAAAATCAAATGAAATGGGGTTCATTTCAGCATAGTGTGAGTAATAAAATGTAAAGGTAAAAACATTTGTATAGAATTAAAATACTTTGTTTTGTCGAATTGCTTATTTGACCAACATGTTATATTGGAAAAGCTTTCGTGAATGAAAATTATGAGGTTTGTGTATATTTTTGTCATTTTACTGTTTGACTTTGCAATTTTTGTTTTTGTTTTTGTTTCTTTATTTGTAGTCGTGCATGCTTCACTAATTTGTATGCACCTATCTTTGTGTAGTTCATTCAAGATTTTCAATTACTAATTTAAGCAGTTTTTGGTTATTATTTGGTTGCTTAGTTGCCACTATGACTACTTTAAATCAAATTTAATGAGTTTTATAGTTATTCAAGAGTAAGAATTGATGTTTAATCAAGCCTAGAATTTTTTGTTGTTCCATGGAGGAAATGATGTTTCATTGCTATAAATAATTCTCCTCTATGTAATATTATAAGATGAAATGTGTATGCGTGATGATCGTGAGTATTGAGTTATTATGCGAAGATTTAATAGGGTTAAAAATATTGACGTGATCGTCAATTATGGTTATTTAAGTTCAGTTCAATTAGTATTTATTGGTTTTATGATTACTAAAATTTTGTTTCCATTTGCTAATTTTTGTGGGTTTAATTTTTTATTCGGGCGATTTTGTTGTGTCACACAGTGCTTTCAGGCATGGGCATTAGCTAGTAAATCTATAATATAAACAGGACGATTTCAACAAACAAATCTAACGATCTCAAATAAATTCATCCAATAACTACTAATATTCCTTTGATTTCCCCCCAAATTTATCATTTTTCACCCACAACATTTTTCAAAATTCTGACCTCTCTCAATCACTTCACCTGTCAGACAACCCATCCTTCTACCGCCTTCCCTCCTACTCCTTTTTTTTTCCTCCCTTTTGTCAGACAAGCCTTCTATTTGTTTCGTCTTTTTTTCCCACCCCCTGTTACTCCTTACCCCTCTCTCTCTCTCTCTATCTCTCTATCTCTCATTCTCGTTCTCTGTTACGCTCCAACGACACCACCACTTCATCAGCAACACCACCATCGCCATTGCTGTTAGCAATTAGCCTCTCTCTCTCTCTTTCTTTATCGCTCTCTCTGTTACACCCCAGCGACACCACCACCACCGCCACTGCTAACCATTCCCAGGTATGCCTCATCTCTCTCTCTCTCTCTCTCACACACACATACACTAACCCCCCATCCTACCCCCACCTCTTCTCTACCCCCTCTATACTCTCGCTCACTTCACAACACGGACACTTCATAGATTCACATTGCACACACACACACACACACCCGCAACGCATAACATACACATACACATTCATCACCCACACTCACCCACACACAAATCGCACACACACACAAACAAACCTAGCACGCGCACACCCAACACAGACCCAGCAACCCACGCACCCACATCACACACATAGCAGAAACAAACACCCACCCCACCCACACACACATCACAAAACATACCCACACACCAATTGTGGACACACACAAAACACAATATACACAAATTGAAAATTGTTGATTTGGACACCAAGTGTTTGTTGGAATGACTGAGAGAAATTTTGTGTACTCTACCATTGTTTTTATTATAGATTATATTATGAATTTCCTGTGTACCTATTTTTGGGGGTATAATGTGTTGAAATTATGTTTCTCTTAGATTTTAATTGATTTTTTCACTAAATTTTAATTGATTTACACTTTGTTTGATTTTTTCAATTTTATGTTGGGTTAGCTTAGATTCAATCTAATGTGAATTTTGTAATTATGTTAGATTGGATGTGATGCAAATTTTATAATTAATATTTGCGCCTCTTATTGTCAAATGTTATGTTGCGCCTCAAATATTTGCGCCTTTTATTGTAATTATGTTAGATTTGACTCGAGTAAGCCATCAAATGCATTTTTGTGATTCCTCTGCAGTGTATTATATTTGCACCTCTTATTGTCGACTTGCACTACGATCTTATTGTGGGTTTATTGGCTCATTTCCGTAACTTGGATCGAATAGATTTTTTTATTGGGAGGCACATGTAGCATATTTGTTGAATTTCATTCACACTGAGTAACAAATGCATAGAGTTGGATATTGAGACACAATTGCAAGTATGTGTGAGTGGATTGTTGGGTCAGTTGAATTAGTGGTACATCGAGAGTCTAAATGACACAAATGAGTGTATATGAAAGTTAAATGACCTATATCGAGTGTGTTTTCTTTATGATTCTTCCAATCCTTTATTGATTTTTATTGTACAATTTTGTTATTGTTTGTCTATCACTATTGTTTTTTGGTGTGTTTTATGGTGGTAGTGAATGAAAATATCAGAGAGGATCCGAACTTTCGCGAAGCGGTAAGATTAATTACATTGCGCCTATAATTTGTAAATTTCATTATGCCTACAATTCAATTTATTAATGCTGCTCTTATAGGTTGATCTAAGTGATAGTAACAACATACCTGTCAATGTTTTGTTTGAATGTGTGCTCAATAAATTACATATGAATAAGGTAACGCTATTGGTGTAGTCAAAAATTTTCATTTTGATATTAGTTTGCATTTTTTGACTAATGCCTTATTTTGTACTTCCTAGGCGAATTCAAATGTGAATCACTTGAACAACCTGAGTGTCACTCCATCTTCGATGAAGGGGAAAGAAAAAATTGAGAGTTCTATTAGAAAAGAAAATTGGTTTACTCAACTGATATGTTGTACTAATCGTTGCTTATGTGTTGATACTATTGTATTAATAAAAATTATTAAACATAACATATCTAATAACTATC